TTTGGCCATCTCATGAGAAGAGGAGACTCCCTGGAAAAGACCCTGATGTTGGGAAAGTGTGAAGGCAAGAGGAGAAGGGGACAACAGAGGATGAAATGGTTGGACAGGGTCATCGAAGCTACCAGCATGAATTTGACCCAACTCCGGGAGGCGGTGGAAGACAGGAGGGCCTGGCGTGCCCTGGTCTACAGGGTCATGAAGAGTCAGACACGACTTAATGAATAAACAACAACAACTGAAAAAAGACACCTCCCCAGAAACGTTGAATTCTGGGACAACGAAACCTGCTCCCTCTCCTTCAACGTACCTTTCAAAAAGAAGACAACTGCCTCTAAATCCCATATTTATGGAAGGTGTTTGGGCCTCAAGGAAGCAAGAGAGCCTATAAAAGAAAAGCAAATGGGTTTATTTAAAATATTCATTTTCCACTTCTGGCTCATGACCATTTTATGTATGGAAGAATCCTGTAAGGTAGAATTTGGCACAAGGGGAATATAAGAGGCGTGATCTTTTCCCTAGAACCTCTTTCTAAAATTGATATGAAAAATCCATGGCTTGTGAGTATCCCTTTTTACCACACCAGCTGCTAGGACCTAGCCTGACTCTAAGCACTCATCCTTACTTCAATCTCTAATTTGTGTGTGTGTGTCTGTGTCTTTGTGTCCTGGGTTGTGCTGCCCTCTAGTGGTGGGTGTTACTTACAAAGGAAGACGGAGAAGACAGTCAACAAGGGATCTGTCCAGGCAAATGATCCAAGCAATACGACAGCCATAACTCCTGCACTGTAGGTCAAGGAAGAAGACCCAGAATGGTGGGTATCCGTTTCTGAAAAAAGAACGGGGAACGGAGGTGTTGTGAACAGCCCCAGATTAGTTCATGACATTTGCCTAGAGTCAAACTTGACGTTTAAGGGAATGTGCATTCTCTACGCTTCACCCAGTTACCTCCATCCATAGGATTTCCTCAGAGATACCGACATCAGAAATCAGACTGGGAGATTAGGCCCATGTTTGCCTTCCAATGAGCAATCACAAAACAAAGCACGCTAAATGCAAGGTGGGAAGGTGAAGGAAATCACATGCAATGGGAAGCACATGTGCTCTACATGCTTATAGGGAGGGATTCGCTCATGACCCTGACTGCTCAGTGCCCAGACCTATTCCCCCATTAGAAAGGCTGTCGTTTCCTTCTCCTCCTCTCCCTTTGTGTCACACACAACAGCAACACATAGAGTGTGAGGCTGGGAGGTCAGCAATCAAGGAATGTAGAGCTAGGTTTAAAGCCCGAGGACTTTCAGAGTAGCAGGGGTTGCGGTGTCTTCAGCCACCCCTCTCAGGCTCCTCTGTTCTTTCCAAGCTCAGCTGTAATCCTCACAGTAGCTGAGAGACAAATGGCGTTTCCCAGAGGAATATTGCAAGTAAAAGTGTACCATTTGGGGGTTTTTTTTGGATTGCAATTCCACCAATTCTCCCAGAATTCTCCAGGCAGAATTTGGGGAGCTCTGCCCCACAAATATATACCTGCAAACACCTTTCTTTCACTCGCCTGGATAGGGCCTGGGTTCCTTCTAAGCCTTGATTTCCTGCTGCAGTGCTTCTCGGAAAGAAGTACCCACAATGCATTCTGGGAGTTGTAGTCTTCTTGCCCTTTATGCACTTTAGAGCAGTGGTCCCCAACCTTGAGTCTCCAGATGTTCTTGGACTACAACTCCCAGAAGCCTTCACCACCACCTCTGCTGGCCAGGATTTCTGGGAGTTGAAGTCCACGAACATCTGGAGGCCCAAGGTTGGGGAACCACTGCTTTAAAGGATGCCTCGTGAAGAAACACTATTGCAACGAGGCTTTGCTGCCACTCTCCTCTGAGGAAGCCTTACAGTGGGAAATGAAGGCATCGAAGAAGGCTTAAAAGAAGGCCGTGTCCTTGTCTAAGTAAATGAAATGAGGGTCCTTGCAGTTATGCATTTGTAGGCTTGTGGGTTCTGCCTGGGGAATTCTGGAAGCTGCAGTTCGAATGCGTGTGCATGCACACAAACACGCACGCACACACACGAATGGGACACTCTTAGTGGCAAGCGCTCTCTAGTGTCCTGCAAAATATTTGAGGCTGATTCGGGCCACGGAGAGCCATTAGCTTTACGAAAGAACTGCTCCTCATTTTTGACCGACTCAGCCATGTCCATTTTTAGACTCTATGGGGGTGAGGGAGACTCCCACCATGAGTCCCCGTACCCCCAAATTGATCACCGGACATGAGACCGCAGGAGAATTTGATCGTGGACACTTACGTGATTGTTCTGTGACCTCTAAATTCACGCTGCCAGTGTAGACCTGTCTCCCTTCTCCTCCTCGGTCACCGGTACCTTTTCCGGGTTGTTGATCCTGCTGGTCGAGAGGCGCTTCCACATAGATGTGGTAGGAGCCCACGTCGGACATTTTTAACTGCGAGATTTGCAAGGAGCAGTTGCGATGGATCACTTCTCTCCCCTGTTGGGAGCTCTGCTGCCTATCCTCCGGGGCGTAGGTTTTTATGACTTTATACACCAAGAAATCGGTCTGCTTTGACCACTCACAAAAATAAAACCTTTCTGGAATTCCATGTGTCACCAGGGTGACATCCTGACCCGGTTTGGGAACCTTAGGGATTTGATGGACCTGGAGGTCGATTTTATTTGATTCTGCGAAAAGAGTCGGAAAGAAAGATCATCAGACTAGGAAGATCGCAGAGTTAGGGACAAAGTTGCCAACTCTTTTGCTGGCCCCTGCTCCTGGGCCCTTAGTGACAGCTTAATTGGAAGACATTAGAGAATGATGATGTGTGTCATGTCTACTGAGAGTCAGGAGATTGGGTTAGAGACTCTCTCCCTCCTCTTCCTCCCCCTCCCCTCCCCCTCTCTCTTAGACTGTCCTACCTTGTAAGGGTGGTGTTTTGATAGCAAAAATGGGATGGAGGAAGAAAGCTACACATGCTTTCTTCAGTTCCCTGGAAAAATCTGCCCATAAATGTTAAATTCTGAAGTGGCAAATGATAAGTAATAAATACCAATGTTATTGATTAGGGTGGAAAGTTATGTGAACGTTATGCATCATTTGGAGTTAGGGTGGCCGTCTGCGAAGGAGCTCATGGCTTGAGGGAACAGAAAATTTTAGCAGGGTGTATCTTGAGTGTCAAACATCCACAGAACGATAGAAGGCTCAGGAGCTTCGTTAATTAATGTCACGTGGCCACCCTACTCTGGTTCTCTTGGCAGAAGGGCAGGATTCTTTATTAAAAGGCATGGAATGTATACCTATTTCAATCAACCCATCAATAAATCCCCCAATTTGTTCTTGCAACGGTAAGACATCATTGGGTTCCCGCCTGTTGTAGATGGCACAGGAGCTTTTTCGTTAAAAAAAGGTGGCAACCTTAAGGAATGGGTGGGGCTTGCACTTACTGGACACTTGTAGAGTAACAGAGGCTTCGTAGGTTTTTTCTTCCTGTTGGTCTCTGTCGCCTTGTTGATGTGTGTGAGCCGTTCTTAAAGTCACCCGATATGTTCCCGCATCCTGCACCCTCACCCTCTGGATATGTAAGGAGCAATTTTGATGGACTGTTTCTCGGCCGGAGTAGGCCTCCTCATTTTTCAGCCTGGGGTTGCCTTCCGGGGAAAAGGTAAGGATGGGGCCTGACCTCCCCAACCGGGTGTCTCGGACCCACTGGCAAGATGAAATCGTGACCGGCGCTCCCTGGAGGGACAGGGTGACGTTCTGAAACTCGTGCGGGGATGACGGCTGGCTGATCACAGAGACTCTTGGCTGGCCCTGGGTGGACGCCAGCTGTAGGAAGGAGCTCAGGAGGAATCCTGCAAGGCGGGGGAAAAAAACACATACGTATCAGTTCTGCAATTTGTTCTCAATTATTCAAATTAGCATGTTTCTGTTCTGATTTTTTTTTAAAGACCTGCATCAGGATTGCTGATCCTTGGAGTGGAAAGTGGTCTCCATCCTGTTTTGGGGAGGGATCTTTCTTATATCCCAGGAGCCACCAACAAACAGATGCGATAGAGCCGTAGGAAACCAGCGCCGATCCTGGTGGGAGGTGATGGGTCCTACGACACTGGAGGAAAACCATACAGCCACCTGTCTGATCTGCTTTGGCTTGGATTCCTGCCTTAAGCAGGGGGTTGGACTGGATGGCCTTAAGAGGCCCCTTCCGACTCCAGGGTTCTACGTTTCAGATGTGGACAATACCCTTCATGCTCACATTGCCATGAGACAAACGTGCGAGGCAGAAGGAGAAGCTACTTCTCTCGCTGAGATTCCACGTACATAACAAAGGTGGGGTCTGAACCCGCAAATACTGGCTCACACCTTTGAATCTTCCAGATGTGTCTTTGATTGGAGATTCACCACCACCACCGTGCAATCTTACACACACACACACACACACAACGTTCTCACCAGGTTAATGTGCAGGTATAACTCAAGTCACTACATGTCTCCTTACACCCTCCTTTCTCACTGGGCCCCTGAGCCACCCATAGGTTGTAAAAGGGGCTTGTTCCCCCTCCCCCAGGAATCCTAAATGTGATTTATGTTTTAATGTAGACACACAGGCTCACAGTGGTTGCCACGACATACACAATGTACAGGAATTAAGTTGTTTCGCCCACCTGCAAAATTCCTGCAGATGTTCCTTCTAATGAGACAAGGAGTACACTACTGGAGTTACTTGACTGCTGCCACAATTAATGTTTTCTAATTCCTTCCAAAAGTGACTTCAAAAGGGTATTTTAAAGCATTTTTAAAGAGACTTTGTGACAGAAAGACTATTCCCTTCATCTTCTCGGCACGCCAATCACAAGACAAAAAGTTTTTTTTAAGTAATGGAAAGTTACAAAGCATACAGTAATGCAGTTTATTTTTTCCCCCCAACATCACAACATATAACAGCAACAGGTTACTTTGCCAACACTATAACAAGTAACAGGAAAGAGTTACCTTTGAGAATTAAGGGTACGCTCTGCTCCCCCCCCCCAAAAAAAACCGACCTGCCAGAAGCATTGTGTCCTGAGATCCCAGAGTCTCCTGGGTAAATCCTCTTCGGCTCTTTTCGCCCGCACCGACAGAGTATGGACCCAGGAATGCTTGTGATGGAGTTGTTCGGATGGGACCGACACTTTCCTCTTAACAAAGGCTCGGATCCATCTGGGCAGCGAGCAACTGCGCAGGTATGACAAAAGTCACTCACCACTTCTTCTTTTTGTTGCAGGAAAGAAAAGAAGGAAGGAAAGGCATTTACTCAACAGTTTATCCTGTTGGGGTCACACCATCATCTTGTTCCTTTACCTTCTTTGGGTGTATACTTCAAGATGATGAAAGCTGATCCCTGACGACCCAGCCGTGCAAAGTTGCAGCCTGGCTGTGTTGTTGTTGTTGTTGTTGTTTACAGATATGATCTTAAGGCTGTGCAATATCTCTTTCCCACATGCACCATGTTCCCCTGACAGATCATGGGGTTAGCAGATGTTTTGGGCTTAGAAACCCCATCAAGGCTGGTCGGTATAGCCAAGGGTGAGGAATGATGGGATATGTAAGCCAAAATGTGACACAGTGGTCTACACTAGTACAGAGGACAGGTTCCTGCTTCGAAAAGCATGAAGCTTCAGTGAACAGGGGGGGGGGGGAAAGAGAGAGAGACAGAAAAGGCAGGGGAAAATGAGAGAAGAAATTGGAAAACCTGCCATACTGAACGTTTGGCTCTGGGATTATGGATTCATAATAAGCAAACAAGCAAGTTCATCTAAATCAGTCGTTCCCCATCTTGGGTCCCCAGGTGTTCTTGGACTAAAACTCCCAGAAGCCTTCACTTCCTAGCAGGACTAGCCAGGATTTCTGGGAGTTGTAGGCCAGGAACATCTGGACACCCAAGGTGGGGAACCACTGGTCTCAATGAGAGGAGGAGGACAAACTTTTGCAACCCAACAGGCAATTTTCTGTCCTTGGGATCCTCCGGAAACCAACCGTTCAGATGGCTCAAAATGTGACAGAATAAAAACCAAACAAACTTGCCAAAAATCTATTTGCAATTCTGGAAAATAAAAGTGATATTTTAGGCAGGAGAGCAGGGAGGCCTAGTGGCTAATTTGAAAGGTCTACCGGCACTCCAGGATGTGTGTGTGTGTGGATTTTCAGGAATGGCAGTTCCCCTAATCTCCTTTCCCCCTTCATTTTTTGGTCATATAATGGGGGCATCTAATATATGCCAAGGGCTACAAAGCCAGGCTTGTATGATTCTGGATCTAACTCATCAGAAGCACTGGGTGGTAGAGAATGGAGAAACACCGCCTTTGCTAGATAGATGAGATATTTCAGGTTTCAAGAAGTGTGTACAGACACACCTTCCATGGGCTGGATCCTGGCACAGTTGCTTTGGGAGACGATGTTCCCAGAATCCTCCAGCCAGAAATCAAATCTAAATTTGCCAGGCTTTGCCTTCCTGCTTTCCTACCCAGAGCACACGAAGAACATGAAGTAACACATTCTCATCCTCCACGAGTTAGTAACCTCCACGAGTTAGTTACTTTGACACTATTGCAAAACCATTGCTGTCGTGCGTGTTCATTTGGTTTTTTTCTGGTCTGTAAGTCAATTCTCTGGCTGCAAGTCAAACCTAAATTTTGAGGCCAGAGAAGTCTGTAACTCAAAAAGTCTGTAAGTCAAGCTGTCTGTAAGTCAAGGGTCCACTGCAATACGTTTTATGAACTGGCTGTACACTTTTTAAATTGCATTTTGTATACTTTACCCATAAATATGTTTATGAGCTGGTCACTAGACCGTCATAAATGAATTCATTCATTCTGTAAGATCGGGAATCCTAGAATCAGGCGGTCTGTTTTGTACTTTTGATCGCCATCAAAAGATTGGCAGGAAAGAAGAGGGGACTAGGGGGGCTGGAATGAGACCTGCATAACATCCCGTTTACAAGGTGAACACCCAAAACATTTCAAAACCACTGTGCAACCACAGAGTGTGATTCAATAGGCAATACAGAGTTTATCTTGCATTGGAGAGCCCAATTGTTGGGTTCGATTGAATTCTGTATTGCCTATTGAATCACACTCTGTGGTTGCACAGTGGTTTTGAAATGTTTTGGGTGTTCACCTTGTAAACGGGATGTTATGCAGGTCTCATTCCAGCCCCCCTAGTCCCCTCTTCTTTCCTGCCAATCTTTTGATGGCGATCAAAAGTACAAAACAGACCGCCTGATTCTAGGATTCCCGATCTTACAGAATGAATGAATTCATTTATGACCATTGCTGTCGTGCGTGTTCATGTAGCAACCTGCGGTGGGCAGCTTCCTGAAAAGAGCGTTGAGAAAGATGGCGTTACCAAGTTCATTTCTCCACCATTAACCCCCGACACCAGCGAAGCAAATGGAGCAAGGAGCTGCACGGATGAAAGCCAGGAAGACACAGAGTGGTTGGAGAAGAGAAAATGTCATCCGGAAGGGACTTGGGTCATAAGACGGTTTCCATTTTGACAGCCAGTGACAATGTCGCCACCCGGTGGCTGTCTTGGGACACAGAATCATACCAGCCGGAAGGGGTCCATAAGGCTGTGCAACCACAGAGTGTGATTCAACCCGGTGGCTGTCTTGGGACACAGAATCATATCAGCTGGAAGGGGTCTAGTGACCAGCTCATAAACATATTTATGGGTAAAGTATACAAAATGCAATTTAAATAGTGTACAGCCAGTTCATAAAATGTATTATGTTGCTTAAATATACAAAACGCAATTTAAAAAGTTTACAACAGGTAATTAATTGTGTACTAGCTGTAAAATATGGGGAGAATCACATACAGCATTTTTATAGCGATCCTTTGAACCACTGGATCGTCTAGGGCAAACTGGTTTGGAAAAGGTCTTTGGGTTATAGGGAGTCCTCCCTACCTATTTGTAAAGATTTGTAAACATTTCCTCCCTTCGGTTGGGACCGCAACATTTCTCTACACTCGACAATAAACCACCCTCATGCTTAAAACAGTCAACCTGTGGACTCAGGAGACTATAAGGGAGCGCTGTACCATGGCTGCTACACAAAATTTTGCTGCAGAGTGTGTAATAAGGGAGTAGCTTGATTTAAGGAAGTAGCCTGATGTAAAATTCATCAGGTCTCCCTGGACATCTGAGAACGATTGGGCTCAGGAGGTTGGTGCGTAGATCTCTATTAAAAAAGACAATGCAGTAAAACATGGCCTCCCATTCCCATTTGGCCATTGTTACACGGACACAGGCAATCCGAGGTTGGTATATGTTGAAATCTTCCCTCCATGAGCTTAGACGGTAAAACATTGAGTCTCGCTAATGTGAAGGTTCTTCTGGTCTTTGTTGACATTGTGCTCATCAAATTTGAAGATATTGTATTAGTATTAGGCATCCTTCAGTCTTGAGAGACTATGGTGACATGCTCTGTATGGAGGATTTGGAACAGCATCTAGTGTGGCTGAGAAGGCCAATTCGAGAGTGACAATCCTTTCCACATTGCAGACAAGTGCAATCTGTCCCCTGTCCAGCTCCCTGATTTTGCTGGTTTCGGGACTGCCTCTTTGCCTCAGCCTGCTGGACAAGGGTCTCTTCAAATGGGGAGAGGCCGTGATGCACCGCCTGCCTCCAGGCTGAACGCTCAGATGTCAGGGTTTCCCATCTGTTGAGGTCCATTCCTAAGGCCTTCAGATCCCGCCTGCAGATCTCCTTGTATCACAGCTGTGGTCTCCCTCTGGGGCTATTTCCCTGCACTAATTCTCCATCCAGGAGATCTTTTGGAATCCGACCATCAGCCATTCTCACGATATGCTCAAGCCAACGTAGACGATGATATTGTAAAGGCATTATTAATAACAACATTGCATTTGCCTGACTGGCTCCGATGCTCTTGAAATTCTATGTCCCAGGTTCTTTGTTTGAGTGCTGCTTTAGCATTTAATTAGTAACCTTACATAATTCCATGCATGCATACACACCACCCACTATGGGATGCATGAACAGAAGTATAGCCTTCAAATCCTGTGGGGTACCATTCCCCCTGTATTTAGTACTGGTTAGGCCTCATCTCGAGGACTGTGTCCGGTTCCGGACACTGCACTTGAAGAAGGATGCTGACAAACTGGAGCAAGTTCAGAGGAGGGCAACAAGGAGGATCAGAGGGCTGGAAACCAAGCCCTAGGAGGAAAGATGAAAAGAACTCAGCAGGTTTAGTCTTGAGAAAAGAAGACTGAGGGGGAGATCGGACAGTACTTTTCAAAGACTTGAAAGGCTGCCATAAAGAGACAGGGCAGGATCTGTTCTCGATCATCCCAGAGTGCAGGACACACAACAATGGGCTCAAGTGACAGGAAGCCAGATGTTGGTTGAATATCAGGAAAAACTTCCTAACTGTTAGAGCAGTAAGACAGTGGAACAAGATGGTGAGTGTTCCAATACTGGAGGCATTCAAGAGAAACCTAGATAATCACCTGGCAGATATGCTTTGATTGTATTCCTGCGTTGAGCAGGGGGTTGGACTTGATGGCCTTGTAGGCACCTTCCAACTTCACTTTATGAGTCTATGGTTCTATAATAATCACAATCCTTCCAGTGCAGAAAACAAGGGTCAAGAGTGTGCCCTGAGGCATGAATAGAGCCAGATACCATTTGGATATTCCCATAGCTGCCATGGGTCTCCTGATAAACTAGTCTTCATTTGTGTGTTAAAGTCCCTCAGCACAATAAGTCAAGGTGACTGCAGCACTACACTTGAGACCAGATTAGCCAGCTCAGGCAGGGTGGGCAGTACACCAACAGAATCCCTACTCTCTCCCAGGCACCCACTCTCAGGTTCTTGCACTCAAACTCAGCCATCTGTGGGATAGGGCACTTGGTAAGAATGGTTAAATTATGGTAGACTATTGCAACTCCTCCTCCCTGCCCTCCCCATGTCTGGCTAGAGTATCCAGTTGGGGAAAGCTCAAAAAGGCTAATACCACCAGCTTCATCCAACCAGATTGACATTTTATTAAAGAGAAAGTTGGATGAGAAGAGCCACTGGTGTCAAGGGTTAACCAGAAGGAGGCAAGGCCCTTGGGGAATTTAGTGACTTGAGAGGGCTAAAAGATCTCCATGTCAAAGGGTATGGGGAGAGAGGGGAAAAATCTGAAATTTTTACAAGGGGGTTTGATGATATTGAAAGATGATCATTTTAATAACTACCAGTTCCTTCTAGGTCCCCGGCTATTCAAAGAATGCCAATGGAACTTCATCTCATCTGTCCAAGAAGAATATGCTCAGAAAGGTTTATTTTATCAGGTAAAGAAGGAATAGAATTCAGAGTTAAGGATTAGGATGAAGCAACGTTGAACAGAGTGGTTTACAGAGATATCAGGAACTCACATTTTCCTCACCCTTCATTTTGGAGTTAAATATCTACAGGAAAAGCTGCTGCAGGCTACAGCATGAATTCATTTGTATTGCATATCTGTATTATTTGGAAATATTTAAAATAGCTGTTATATGTTGTTTCTCAGTGTTTGGTAACAGGTAAGCTGTGCGTAGCATTTAGGGTCTTTGACACTATGGGGTTGCTGACAGGTAATTGTATCCTTGTTGTTATCATGTGCCGTTATGTCAGAATTGGCTTACAGATATCCTGACCGGGCTTTCAAGGTGACTGAGATATTTAAGGATTGGTTTCATTCATTCCACTCCTCCGCTGTATGCTTTCACAGCTGAGCAGGGATTCAAACCCAGGTCTTCTGAGTCATAGCCCACCCGCTACACCGCACTGGGTGTTCGCATCTGACAATTACGTCAGGGATGAAATGAAACGACGATTCAGATACCGTAGATTTGCAGTTGACCTGTAATGAGACACATAACAAGATTTGATAATTAGACATCTGTCAAAACCTAGTAAAGTTGTTGACAAGCTAAGATTAAATTTCACAGTCAGAGTTTCAGTAGTGGAATTGGACGTTTGAGTATATTTCAAATTGTTGGTGTTATGTGCTGTCACGTTATCTCCAACCTATGGTGGCCCTATGAATGAACGTTCTCCAAAATGTCCTGTCCTCAACGGTTCTGCTCAGGTCTTGTAAACACAAGCCTGGGGATTCCTTTCGGGAGTGAATCCACCTCATACAGTATATGGTTGTCTTCTTTTCCTGCTAGCTTCCACTTTTCCTAGCATTATTGTCTATTTGAGAGATTTTTGCCTTCTCATGATGTGCCCAAAGTAGGACAGCTTGAGTTTCATCATTTTTGCCTCCCGAGAGAGAGTTCAGACTTGATTTGCTCTAGAACTCACTTGTTCCTCTTCCTGGACATTCAGGATCTCTGTAAGCTCTATCTCCTGTCTGTAGATATTTCAATATCTGATGGGAAAAAAAACAGCCCTACTTTACGAAGCACATATCTGCAAGGTCTCCTACTCTAGGACTAAGATGCACTAACAAGACCAGAGTCATTAATAAAACAACTTGATGTCAGGGAAGAGAAGGTGCAGATGGCATATTTCTTTTCTTTGAATAGATACATGGCAGGTTGCTGTTCAACAGGTGAAGTCCTTTCCATTGCTCCATCATCATGCTGGGAAAAGCTGTCCCTGTTTAATTTCAGTTTTGGTTTAATTGGTTTAGCATCATTGGCTGTTAAGTTTTTTAGACGATGCCGCACCATGGAGCCACTGTGAGATACAGGAAGCTGGACTAGATGGGCCCTTGGCCTGATCCATCAGGGCTCTTCTTAGGTTCTTACGCTATTTGTGTTCTCATTTAGCATTTATTGCTCTATGTGGTTTGTTTTTAACTGCTTGTAAACCAACCAAAACAGTGCTTTGGCATTGATGGGGTGGCATATAAATTAAAGTAATAAATAAATAATATTTTGAAAGTGCTGAGATCTGGCAACATTTTGTAAAGAAACGAGGAAGGGACTTGAACAACGCCAGCTCAAGAAAGACTTTAATGTATGAATGCATGTGTTAATCAACATAAGATTTGCATCCAGCAATATTTTGTTTTCCCAGCCTGTACCATCCTGAGCTGCTTCTTCTATGTGGTTTTGGCTCGTGGACAACCAGATAGGAGCCGAGTTGGGCATTTGTCACACACCACCACAAACCAGACTTTGTCCCCTGGAATTTCAAGATCGTCCACCTTTGGTCAGTGATACCAAGATGTCGCCGTGACAAGAGAGGGCAATCTTGGTTTCTTCCAGAACATGGATAAGTTCCTTTTTAAAGACAGCAACTACTGGAATCCCTCAGCCAGAAGGGGGGGTGTTGAGAGATGTGGTCCTTTTTTTGTAGTTTTCCTTCATGTTTGATTCTGAGGAATGTCACATGATGGATTAGAGATGAGAAATAGGGCAATGCAAGTCTCTTTCTGTAGAGCAACACGGTTGTTAGAAAATAAAATGGATAACATGGGAAGATATTTAACTTTTCATGAAGTTTGGTCACGAGAAGTAGGTTTATAAATTGTACAGTGGTGCCTCGCTAGACGATAATCCGTTCCACTGAAATCGCTGTTTAGCGAAATCATCGTCTAGCAAAAAGCATTTCCCCATTGGAATGCATTGAAACCTGTTTAATGCGTTCCAATGGGGAAGAATTGTCGTTGTCTAGTGAAGATCGGCCATAGGAAAGCCACTGTGTGAACCGCCGATCAGCTGTTTAAATTGCTGTCTTGTGAAGCGTAGGTCCTGAAAACACCTGTTTTGTGAGTGCAGAGGGATCTGTCAAAATCGTCGTCTAGCGAAAATCGGTTTGCGAAGCAGGGAACAAACATTGTCCAGCGAAATTCTCCCATAAGAATCACTGTTTTGCGAATCGCTATAGCGATCACAAAAAGTCAATGTCTAGCGAAAAAACTGTCATGCGGGATACCTGTCTAGCGAGGGACCACTGTACTTGCAGTCAACACCCTGCTCATTTGATCCCAAAGGGTTCAGGTAGCCGAAGAAAAGTTGACTCACAGTTGACTCACTGTCTAGTGAGGCACCACTGTATTCCAGTATATCATTGAAATGTTCTCAGATATTGGTAGGATGTTCCAGAATTTCTAAATCTGGGGATAGGGTAACCTCGATCGCAGGGTTTGGAAAGGTTGACATGGCTGATGTTATGTGGTAGGATACAATGAATAATACAAGGTACTCATTGTATTACTCATTATTTCTCAACGTTTTTCCTCAACCAGCTTCCTCTAATGTTACTGTTGCTGTGATCTGGCAAATCATTGCAATGTGTCCCAATGAAATACTGCAAAAATACCCCCTGGTGCCTTCTAGTGGTCAGTTCTGTTATTGCACCTTGGACATATTTATAAAAATTCGAAAGACGAAACCAACTCCTTTCTTTCCTGCTTAGGATTGATAAGAGAATGGCATAAACTCCATTTAAAATACCCTTTAAAATACTTTTAAAAGTAACTGGGTATTACTTGTTAGACCAAATAAATAGTGTGATAAATACTAGTCATGTTACTTGTTGCTAAAAAAAGACTTACATGTAACTATGTTGCTTGCAACTAGTCTTTTCTGCAGCAAATCAAATTTGGGTTGAAGGTATTTATACCATTAGAATGGTCACAATTATCGGTAGAATCCCCATCTGGAATTTACACAGAATTCTCAAATCTGTGCTTATAAATCTCCTCTGTAGAACGTCACCCATGGAAAGATCTGAGCAACTGCTGGGTGGGGAAATGAGGTTCATATGTGTGCATCCTCACCATAAATTCAGGCATAACGTCTGAGTAGGGTTTGTGTGATGTTGGAAGTTGAGTTCCGGGCTTCTATGGTGGTATAAACATAGATCATTGATTTTTTTCAAACAAAGGAGGGTTAATCACAATAAATGATCACCATGGGCTGTCAAGTCCATTCTGAGTTATGGCAACTGTTTTTCAGGGTTTTCCGGGGAGAGAATATTCAGAAGTAGTTTACATTTCCCTTTTTCTGGGGGATACTCTGGGGCTGTGCAGCTCGCCCAAGGCCACCCAGGCTGACTATTCTCTCTGGCGTCACACTGGGGAATTGAACTCCCAATTTTGTGGTTGTGAGCCAGATGTCTAAACCACTGAGCTATCTAGCCAGTAAAGAAGAGTTAAACCTTAGCCCCTGTCCTAGGTATGACACTTTTCTTCCTGACCCCCGCTTTGATTATTTACCTTTTCTATTCTTTCCTCCTTTCTGTTGCAGATAGATCACATTCCGTTGAAATAACTCCCTCTGGAAACATATCTTGGCTGCTAGGGTCCAGCTTGACTCTCAGCTGTAGCGCCGATTCAGTGCCTGCTCCGTGTTACTGCTGGTTTTTCAACGACACCAGTGCAGATGTGGAAGAAAGAGACCTGACCATTAATTTGACCTCCTGGGAAAATGAGGGCATCTATAAATGCTGCGTGCACAATCCTCAGACCAACGTCAACGCCTGCGCGTCTACATTTGTGAGGATAAAAACCAGTGAAGGTACATATCTTGATTTTCCTTTCTTGAGTTGAAGAGAGCAGAGATTGGGAGAGCTGGTTTTGAGCCCTTCCTACAGAACCTATATGGAGTGACCCTACCCATCTTTATTTTCTCAGTGAGCCCAAGTAAGGTTGCATTCAGCCAAAGCTTTCATATCAGCATTTTGTATATGCACCACAGAACAGGGGTCTTTTTTTGCTCTTATTGTTCAATGGACACAAGGTTTCTTGCGAAGCAGCAATGGCAGCTAAACTTCAAAACCAGTGGTTCCCAACCTTGAGTAAACCAGGTGTTCTTGGACTACGATTCCCAGAAGTCTTCACCACCCAGGTTCTGGGAGATGCAGTTCAAGAATACCTGGATTCCCCACGGTTGGAAATCACTGTTCTAAACCATTTCTAAAGTTATGCGGTGGGGTCAGAAAGGCCAAATCAATGTGTTGGTCGTATGTAGGGTCAGGCTGTTACGGGCAGCTGTGTCGGCTATGCGGTGGGGTCAGAAAGGCCAAATCAACGTGTTGGTCTGTTGGCTGTTATGGGCAGCTGTGTTAGTATGCTTCACTGTGTGGTGTTGCCACAACGTGGCCTAATGCAATTCTCGTGTGAGGAAGTGACTTCCTTCTTTTGTCGAGAACTTGTTTGATCTCTATCCGGACAGCAGTGCTTGACTGTCCAAATCGACGTGAATAAGAAAAGGCCAAGAAGACTTCAGGTTGCCTTCTAAAAAAGAAAAAGAAAAGTAGTAAACGACATGCTCTGGTCTGTTGTTGTTGTTGTTCAGTCGTTTAGTCGTGTCTGACTCTTCGTGACTCCATGGACCAGAGCACGCCAGGCCCTCCTGTCTTCCACTGCCTCCCGGAGTTGGGTCAAATTCATGTTGGTTGCTTCGCAGACACTGTCCAGCCATCTCATCCTCTGTCGTCCCCTTCTTCTCTTGCCTTCACACTTTCCCAACATCAGCGTCTTTTCCAGGGAGTCTTCTCTTCTCATAACATGGCCAAAGTACTGGAGCCTCAGCTTCAGGATCTGTCCTTCCCGTGAGCACTCAGGCTTGATTTCCTTTAGAATGGATCGGTTTGTTCTCCTTGCAGTCCAAGGGACTCTCAAGCTAGTCAATACAGGGAGGCAGAGACCAGTTGCTATAATCTGCATTTTTCAGCATCTGTGGGAGGGGGGCTTGGAACCCATCCCCCATGGATACAGGGGTCCTAATGTGTCTCGTGATAGAAAGGGGAAATGGGTTTCATGAAAAAAAGGAGGGAGGAGTGCAATTTATCTTTAGAAACAATAAAAACAAAATGAGTTTAACAGTGAGAAGGATGAAAATCACCCATTCTTCTGTCACTATTGAAATGTTTCCATAGCCCTCCCCAGGAGTAATTGCCCATCATCCACCCCACTCCACCCCCACCCTGGGTTTGGAGAACACTGTCGTAATCCTTCTTGGAAATACTGGGAATTGAACCAGGGATTCTATATTTGCAAAGGATCGATTCTACCCCTGTTCGCTTTCTGCTGACTTTCTCTTCCACGTCCTCATCTACTCCCCCTCTCCTTTGTACATTCAGTGGAAAATATTTTCCATTTAATAGACATCCTTTGGTTAGAATCTCGTCCCCCCCCGTCTGTCTGTCTGTCTGTCTGTCTGTCTGTCTGTCTCTCTCCTGCCACGGTGGCTTTTCAGTTTTCTAAAAATAATTGTTTCACTTCCCTTCTCCCCCGCCACCGTTTTGTTTAAAAAAGCCTATTTTCCTGCTTGCTTTGGGGAAAATGTCCATGTTTTTGCATCCAGTCTCTGGATATTCAAAAAAGCCTATTTTCCTGCTTGCTTTGGGGGAAATGTCCATGTTTTTGCATCCAGTTTCTGGCTATTCATTTTTCTTTTTTTTTTTTAATGCCAACCTCCTACATCACAGGGTTGTTTTAGCCATTGAAGCAAAAAGGGATGCTGATGAATAGGTGATGAATGCTGCCTTGGAGAAATGGCAGGCAGCATAAAAACTGGGGTCCGCAAAAGAGAAGAAGAGAGAATTAGGACTCTTATGGGGAAACTTTGGGAAAGTTTTTACAGCTATGCCTTTATGTTCCAGAAACACAACTGGAGCTACATGGGAAGCTCATTGCTGCCATCTGTCTTGGACTGGTGGGGATAATAGCTCTGGTGATGCTGCTGCTGTGTTATTTCCGTGAGTAATATTGTGGAACTTGGAAGTGCCAGACTTGGTGGGTTTTGCTTCTGAGCTACATGAAAACCAGAAAAGCATGCAGGAATTCGAAAGCTTTTGTGTCGACCCTTCTGAATCTTTTCCCAAAGTCCTCCCAGCTGGGTTGCAGATTCTAAACCTCATCTTAATACCCGGGCTTGGACTTTGGGCTAACACAGCAATGGGAGAGCACCTCTGACCATGTACAGAGTACATTTTCCATGACCAAGGTGCTATAGCTGAAGCCAGGATGCAGCATATGACTTCCACATTCAAATATGATAGAGTATGGAGAGATGATTAATTTTTAACGAGCTGTGGAAGGGTTCCCTGCTCTAATCTGGAGGCCTTTGGAATTGATCCTGTTTCATTCCGGAATGGTGGGTGCCCCTTCTCACTCCCTCCGTGCTTCAGATCCTAACTGATTCCTAAATTTCCCGTTGACTCTCATTGGGAAACCAAGCTGGCTATTTCGTTTTTTGGGGGTGGGGGGTTTTGCACTGATGTCTGTAATAAAGCAAAGTAAACTGTAAGTGACATGGGGAGGCATGTTGGATTATAAAGAGAGGATTAGACCTGTCTAGTTTCACACCTCTAGCTCCAAAGGTTTGCAGACTAGACACCTTTACATGTTTAAAAAGGAGAAAAAGAAAAGCAAAGATTATATTTTTTAAAAAAAATCACAAGTGTAGACAAAGCAGGAGTGAAATATTTCTGCTTTTGAAGCATGTCAACATTTCATTTTTTTTTCATGTTTGGCATTAGAGAAAACGGCAGACAGAACAGTGTGTTTAGATACTGGCACAGAGTTAAGAAGAGGCGAAACGTCGGTGTGTAAGACAATGGAGGAGATGAAGGAGGTGTAAGGATAGGATACAAATAATGGAAGAGAGGGAGAAAAATTTAGGAACATTATATTTTTTGGACTACAGTTCCCAGTATCCCCCTGGTGGCAAATCATCTTGGAGTTAATCCAGTGGTTTCCAACCTTGGGCTACAGTACTCAGAATCCTTCACTGCTTGCTGTGCTGGCCAGGGTTTCTGGGAATTGCAGTTCAAGAACGCCTGGGTTATCCAAGGTTGGGAACCGCTGAGTTAATCTGAGGTTGCATACCTCATCCATCCTGCAGCAAAATGTTGAGGCAGGAGACTCACCCAGGGATCTTACCTGCCTCCCAGGTGTCCGTGTTCAGAGTGAGAATCCAGCCCAGATTAATTCCATTCCGTCCTTGTATGGAGACCTTCCCTCAACTCAGGAGCAACCAGGGACCAGCGTAAGTAATGACGTGTTTCCTCTCCTGCCATGGCTGATACCACTGATATTGGCCATAGGGATGACTAGCAATGTGCTGAGATGGGACCTCCTCCAGGTCCACCTTCGTTGTGGTTGGGGGTGAAATTTCTTTTTTTAAAAAAATAAAATACAAGTTACTCGTGAGTTAGTTGCCACAGAGCATGTTTACTCCACACCGTTCGAGAGCTTTGAGACTGCCCCAGTTCTGCCCCATTTGGTGAAATATCAAAGATAATTAGCTTGCAGTTTGGTGAGGTGCTCAGAATGTTCTGCTTACAGAGCACCAGAAGGTGCAATTCCTCTCTTTTTTTTAAAAAAAATGAAAGCATTCAAAAATTGGAGGTTTCCAGAGGCCCACAACTACCACAGAAAATTGTGTGCATGGGTGTGAACTCACGTAATGAACTACAGTGGTGCCCCGCATAGCGACGTTAATCCGTTCCAGTATTAATGTCGCTGATCAGATTCATCGCTATGAGAGGGGGGGGAACCCATTAATAAGTGAGCTCCATATGTTGCATTAACTGAATCTTTGAACAGTCTTCAAGGGCAGTTTCATTAAACTCCATTTAATGTGTTCCTATGGGGCGAAAACTCACCACTATGCGAAGATTCCCCCGTTTGGCTGCCATGTTCGCCGCCCGGTAAGCGAGGGCAGGGCGCGAAAATGGAGCGGGCGGCCATTTTTTCTTCTGGTGGCCATTTTGGAACCGCCGATCAGCTGTTTTTATAACATTGCAATGCAAAGATTGGTAAGCGAAACGCTTACTGATCATCGCAATGCAATGTTTTGCCATTCAAAATGTCGCAATGCGATCGCATTAACGATCACAAAAAATGCGTCACTATGCGGATTCTTCGTTAAACGGTGCGCTCGTTAAGCGAGGCACCACTGTTCCTCTAATTCTATGTGACTTATTGTCACATCGTTACTTACCGAACTTGATAGATAACTCAGTGGTTCAGGTCTATAGCTGCAGAGCCAGAGGTTGGGAGTTCGATTCCCCCACTGGGCCTCCCCGATGAGGGCCGGACTCCATGACCCTGAGGGTCCCATCCAGGGTTACAGTTCTATGTTGGTTGAAGATTTCTTTCTGCTTGCAAAGTGTATGCTCCCTGCCTTTCCTTGATGATTTTTTCAAAATTCTTTCTCTAATGCAAGCTGACAGCATAACCGATAATTCCTTGGGCAGGACATCAAACTTTTCTTTTGTCGCTATTCCAGATCAAGTCTGAGAAGCAGTCGGATCCCAGCAACGTCTATGTGGTAAGCATACAGGCTATTGCTGTTAGTCTTTTTTAAAAAAGGAAAATCTGCACATGTTTACACCAAGGAACGAAAACATTAAATTTAGTAATGCCAATGTCTCTGCTTTGGAGCAGTAAGTTAAGCTGTTTAATCATCATGCATTTTCTGAAGGTTTCCTCCAGTGGCATCTATTTTAAGGTTTGCTATTATTGAAATCCTGCAGATCCAACCCATCAATGTATTGGTTAAAAAGAAACAACCACATTGCCATATGAGAGTATGATCCCCTACGCATTATTTGTGGCTTTATTGTTTCAAACTATTTACTGATTGCTTCTTGGTGCGAAAGAACCAGGCCTTTTCAGACGGTTTTAAAAATGAGATGTTAATAGATTCCACCATCCTGCTGGACTGTCTTCTTTTGTTCCCCTTCAGGTGCTGCAACATGGCGACGAGGCTGTCTACCAAGAATTGAAGTGATAAGACTTGACCAAGGAGTTGCCCAAGAAGTTATCGGGGTGAGGGGTGAGGGTTGATCCTCTTCTGGTGGGTAGCTCTCCAGATGGTGTTTGGGTGTGCGGTTTGCCGTCCCTTCCTAAGCTGCCGCCTGAGGCTGTGATCTCACCTTGTCTTGCAGGAGGGTGAGCTTTCAGCTGTGGTTCCCCTGTGTAACGATCATAGTAATTTAAATCCTGACCCCTACCCCCCATGGATCTGCAATCATTGTCCCTTTCTGGGATGGTAATGCAGATCCTTCTCACCCTCCCTTCAAAATGTGGCAAGCCAACCCAACGGGTAGGGGGGCTTTCCTGTTCATTTTGCAAAGCAGGCTCTCAGATGCCTCTTCCAAACAACCAAACACTGCCCTGTGTGTGCCACTGCAGCGTATTGGGGGATGGTAAAGGTAAAGGTAAAGGTTCCCTTTGACAATTTTTGTCCAGTCGTGTTCGACTCTAGGGGGCGGTGCTCATCCCCGTTTCCAAGCCATAGAGCCAGCGTTTTGTCCGAAGACAATCTTTCCGTGGTCACATGGCCAGTGCGACTTAGACACGGAACGCTGTTTACCTTCCCACCGAGGTGGTCCCTATTTATCTACTTGCACTTGCATGCTTTCAAACTGCTAGGTTGAGGCAGGAGCTGGGACAAGCGACGGGCGCTCACTCCGTCACGTGGATTCGATCTTACGACTGCTGGTCTTCTGACCCTGCAGCACAGGCTTCTGCGGTTTAGCCCGCAGCGCCACCACGTCCCTTTGATTGGGGGATGAACACTCTGCAAATGACTCAAGAAAGCCTCTGATTCCAGACTGAGTGTCCAAGCATCAAAAATAGATTCTGTACTTGATCTTTGTCTCTCATGAGATGTTCGGAGACAAACCCCACCACCATTACCTTGACTCTCTTTTTCAGATGAACAAGACCATCATCAGCCTGAGAACTACAGAAGCGGATCCATCATCTTCTAGTTACTGTGTGCTGTGAGGCCATGTCTGACATATAGTGACCCCCCATTACTCAGCCAATTCTTCTCAAATTTGGCCTTCCTCTTTTCCTACTACCTTCCACCTTTACGGACTTAACTCTCTTTTCCACCGAATCTTGACTTCTCAGGATGTGTCCAAAGCTTCAGTGTCGTCCCTTTCACTGCGGTGGACCGGGAAAATGACTGAGATCGTTTTATAATCCTGAGATCACTTCAGAACAAGATCTGCAGTGATCTTAGAATTACAGAAATAGACTCAGCTCCTCTTACAGACGTCTGGAATTCATCTCTAATATTTTGAATGGGTTAAAAATTTTCCCAGAGCCTGGTAGGAAACTCTTCTTATGAATGGTTTTACTTAAGTAATTGGGTGTCATTTTGTCAGGCCACAACTCATGTCTGTTTTGCTATACAGTGGTGCCTCGCTACACAGTTACCCCGCATGACAGTTTTTTCGCTAGACCTTGACTTTTTGTGATCGCTATAGTGATTCGCAAAACAGTGATTCCTATGGGGGAATTTCGCTGGACAATGTTTGGTCCCTGCTTCACAAACTGATTTTCGCTAGATAACGATTTTGACAGCTCCCTCCATGCTCGCAAAATGGGTGTTTTCGGGACCTAAGCTTCGCAAGACAGCTTCTTATACAGCTGATCGGGCGTTCGCAAAGTGGCTTTCCTATGGCCGATCTTCGCTAGACAACGACGATTCTTCCCCATTGGAACGCATTATACAGGTTTCAATGCATTCCAATAGGGAAATGCTTTTCGCTAGACAATGATTTCGCTAAACAGCGACTTCAGTGGAATGGATTATCATCGTCTAGCGAGGCACCACTGTAACTTTAAGCCATTGTATCTATCTGCTGTCTATGAAAGCTACTTTCTGCTTCGTCACATCACTGAGCTGCTGCATGATAACAGATACTCTTCATCATAACTGCCTAGGAGTAACAAAAGGTGGTACTGATGGAGGCAGGCCATTTTTAGAAAGCCAGTGCTTTTATCTCCCAATTCCCCAGCTGCTTTCCTGAACAAGCATATCTGGTGTATAAAAGTAATCCTTATCCTTCAGCAAAAGACTTCATCTATCGCTACAGTAAACCTTATTTTCCAGCTCGTGTCTTCTGCATCTAGTCTGCTGTCTAGCAAGTACAGGTTAAGGATGCAGGGAAATTCTGACACTTTTAAAAAAAAGATGGATTTATTCAATGTGAGTAACATGGTACACTTTGCAGATGAAAATCCAGAAACCTCTCAGCATGTGATGTGTTTTGTGAAAGAGGGGGAGAAAGGGAGGGAGGGAGTTCAGTAACATACATGTATTTAGAAAAATGCACAAATCAAACAGCATAGTTTTAAAAGGCTCACAGATTTGGGGAAACTTGGAAAAAGCAGCTTATATTATATAATAGACATCTGGTGAGGTGGTTGTGTAATCAACAAAAGCTCAAGTTGTAACAAATTGCCTTCTATTTAAGATGCTGATTCTCTGTTCTGTAAACATACCAACCCCTTTGGAAATTGAAGGGCAATGAACTGCTAATTCTTTATATTAATTATTCTACTTGTATTAGGTGTTGTGATGATAGGATGCCAGTCAGGTCCCAAAATGCCGAAAGACCTATGCATTGATGATGCTGGTATCTCCCAAGCTTGCAAAAATTCATTGTTTTACCTTTTAACCTACAGTGCTGTGTGAGGAAAAATCCTTATGTCTCGTGTATAAGTTTGTTCCTTCTATGTGGGAAATTTCTGCTTAAAGGCTGTAGCTGCATTCTGTTCCAGCGATGTGTACACACTCCTGGCAGGAAGCGGCAGATGCCAGCAGATGGGGTAACCCCTTCTTCTGCCCTGTCTCTTAGAGGTAGAGCATAAGATCAAAGGGTTATTTTAGCCAATCCTAGTTATGATTAGGTAACTAGTATCCCATCTGTTTTTCTCATAATATACTATGTAATCCTGCTAAGTCGATAAAAGAGCTCTCGGGGCGTTGCCAGTAGGCTCCGCTGGCTCGGACATCTGCTGTCGACTCCTTTGTTCTCTCTCTAAGGCAATTAACCTTCCTTTGTTCTGTGATCACTCACACTTCTATGTCCTGGACATCATGTCTTTTCCCCCCAGTAAGGTACAGCCCAGCCCACTGGGAGACAAATACCATCATACTGTGCATTAAAGGGTCACTTAATTAAGTCTATCATTTAATGGTTGTTGTGGGTTTTTCAGGCTCTTTGGCCATGTTCAGAACACGAAAAGCCCACAACAACCATCAGATCCCAGTCGTGAAAGCCTTTGAGAATACAATACATCTATCATTTAACTGTGACTTTTCCATGACATCAACCTTCAGGAATAGGGAGTGGTATTTGTGCTGCTTTCCCACCACAGGGGTGAAATAGATTTGAGGTTTTACACTAGATTCTGACAAATCCCCAATTCTGAACCTAAATGAGTTTGGCTCAGTTTGATTTGTTATGAGATTTGGATCAAACAGAAGGGACTGACTCAGTTCTGGAAGGTGAATTGGACAGCACTCCACTTGCTTCAGCCTACGATGGTTTGGTTTTCACTTCGTTTCATTTCATTTTGGAAGCAAAGGCTGAAGGTACATATGCAGACTCCTGAAGCTAGCTATTGGAAATCTGGCACATTTATCTCCCTCCTTAGCGGTTGTCATGCCTCCAAACTCCATACATATCAGTGCACAAATGAATGAGCCAAGGGACAAAACTGTTACATCAGGCAAAACCAAAAGAAACATAAAAACATAAAGAAGACAACAACTTTGTGCCACCTTAAAGACTAATTTTTATTTTCATTTTGTTTTTGCCTGATAGGCATGCAGAGACGACGATGGCTACCTCTTCTAAAAATGTTATCATTATTTTAGTATTCCAATTCATGTCAATGGATCAGCTTCACAAACTGATTAATTGATGGCGAATAGGATGACACTTTGAATTGCGGTGCTGGAGGAGACTCTTGAGAGTCCCCTGGACTGCAAGGAGAACAAACCTATCCATTTTGAAGGAAATCAACCTTGAGTGCTCACTGGAAGGACAGATCCTGAAGCTGAGGCTCCAATACTTTGGCCATCTCATGAGAAGACTCCCTGGAAAAGACTCTGATGTTGGGAAAGTGTGAGAGCAAGAGGAGAAGGGGATGACAGAGGATGAGATGGCTGGACAGGGTCATTGAAGCGACCAACATGAATTTGACCCAACTCCAGGAGGCAGTGGAAGACAGGAGGGTCTGGCATGCTCTGGTCCATGGGGTCATGAAGAGTCGAACACGACTTAATGACTAAACAACAACAAGGATGAAACACAAATCACTCCAGGCTAGAGATGGGCATAAACCACCAGTTTAGCTGTTCGCACTGATTCGTTTTTTAGCCAAAGAGGTGTTCAGCACTTCCACATCACTCCTTCTTCAGCAGGTGCTCACTCAGGAGCAGTGCCCCATTTCCCTGCCCCACCTCCTCTGGGTGCCGCCCCTGAGTGACACCCACTGGAGAGAAGGTGGGGCCAGAAAGCGCCAAATCGTTGTCTGGCCGAAAAACGAATCCGTGCAAACCTCTGAATGGGCAGTTCGTGCCCATCTGTACTTCAGACTAAATTGGGATACATAACAAAGTCCGAAATTGACCTCCAGATTAAATTGAGGGAATTCTCCACAGCCCTGGTCTGGCTATTACAGGAACTCTCCATGGTGCTGAAAACCCCCCATCAGTTCAGAACACTGGACGGCTCCTGTAAAATAAATCTGCGTCCTTTACTTGTACCCTCCATCAACTACAAGGTGCTCCAGCTGCTACTGGACCGGCACTCAGCACCTCCATCCCAACAGTCCACGGTGAAGACAATGGGATGCAGTCAAAAGCAGCCACTTCAGACTTCTATTTTAATACACAGATAACAATGGGTTTCTTTTGCTAGGTGGGTTTGGATGCGGGTGTACCTCTCAGTGCTTAATGAGTGTCAGAATGCCTTTTGACATATTCGTCATGTTTCTCAAGTAGACAGTTTTCTTCTTTTAGGTAGGCAGTATGAATGTGTGTATGTGTGTCAGGTAAGTCAAAAAGTAGACAGTTTTCTTCTTTTAGGTAGGCAATATGAATGTGTGTCAGGTAAGTCAAATGTCATTGAAAGAGGCTGGAGGATAGTGTCCCATTCTTGAATGCTGGCAACACTCTGGCCAAGGAGGGTCTCTTTTTATTTTCACCTAGAAGAGAAAACATAAGAATATAAGAACGTAAGAAGAGGCCTGCTGGATCAGGCCAAGGGCCCATCTAGTCTGTCTTCCTGTATCTCACAATGGCCCCACCCGATGCCTCTGGGAGCACAGGAGACCACTAGACACCTGTCTCCCGATACCCCTCCCCTGCATCTGGCCTTTGGAAGTACCTTCCTTTTAAACCTGGAGATTATACCTCCCCATCATGGCTTGTCACCTGCAATTGACTTTTCCTCCAGAATCTAGAATCCACATCTAGAATCAGAATGAAAGCTGTCCACATCCTGATAGTTTGATATGCAGGGATCCGTAAGGGAGTAAGTCAATTTGGAGTTAACAGGGGCCAGCTTTCCACTCCTAGAAACCATCACAGACTGAACCAGCCCTTCCCTGAATGGGAAAAAAAATTAAAAGTACTTCTGGTTTCTAGAATCCTATTTCAATTTTGTTGCAGGTGGTCAGGTTTTGAAGGATATTTGGGCCCAACATAGCATTCTGTAGGAACAATGATGCCCCTGGAGATAGAACATGATGGTTTTAGATACACTATAAAGTATTTCCCATTGGACGGTGGTGAGTCAGGCCAGCAGGTGGCTCAAGGAAAGTTCAGGGGGGCACAGGTAGCTCCCAGGATGCAGCTTGCCATCCGGAACCTGGGCCTTCAGTGTCTCTTGGGATTATATGACTGCTCCTGGGAAGCCCATGAGATCAGCTGAGATCCACCCATATTTACCTCCAGCCCACGTCCTCATCAGTTGTGGGATGAGGAGGCTACAACCTCTTGGCTTCTGAGACAGTTGTTTCCCCATTGTTAGCATCTAGGAGTGATGCTATTGCTTGAGAAGTTATTTTCATGGTTGTTTTTAGGTTTTTCAGACTGTTTGGCCATATTCTGAAGGTTTCAGGAAGTTATTTTCATGGTTGTTTTTAGGTTTTTGAGGCTGTTTGGCCATATTCTGAAGATTTCAGGAGAAAACCTTCAGAACACAGCCAAACAGCCCGAAAAAGCTACTGCAACCATCTGATCCCAGCCGTGAAAGCCTTCGAGAATAGAGTTATTTTCATGTTTACACAGGCATGTGTACACATGCTCTGCAACTTCCCAGCCCTTCATGCTGAGATGTACAGGTGGCCGCCATCTGATCCCAGCCATGAAAGCCTTCGACAATGAATTATTTTCATGTTTACACAGGCACGTGTATACATGATCTGCAACTTCCCGGCCCTTCATGCTGAGATGTACAGGTGGCAGAAATGGGCTCAAGCTACGGGAAGCCAGATTTAGGCTGAACATCAGGAAAAACTTCTTAAGTGTTAGAGTAGTATGACAATGGAACCAATGACCTCGGGAAGTCGTGAGCGCTTCAATGCTGGAGAAAATTGGACAACTATCTGTTTGATTTGGGTTCCTGCCTTGATGGCTTCAGAGGCCCCATCCAGCTCAATTATTCTACGATTCTAAGGAATGATTTGTTGTGGGTCAAATTAGACATTAAGGGGCAAGTGGAATCATAAATTTTCCCCTGTCCTCAGAGGTGTCTGTCTTCACTTAGACAGCAACATGTGAAGTCAGCACGTTGAAAAGTCAACACGTTGCTTCTACATGAGTTGTACAAATGGGCAAGAACCTCGGAAAATCTGTGTTCTTGCTCATGTATAGAATGTACTCATGATCAAGAGGTTCTCTTCAGACCTTTTGCTTCCCATGTGGACAACATGACAATATGACAGCAAAAAGGCAAACTTTTCAAAGTGTGTTGGTTACAACCAGGGAGGTAAAGACCAAACAGGCTTACCTTTAGCCTGGCATGCTTGGTACTTACTTTAAATATATGAGGCTGCTACTCAATGCCGGATTTGCAGTATTCTTAAGGAAAAAGAAGAAAGAGAACAGAATTCAAGAGAATGGCCACATTGATGGCAGCAACTTTACACATCTTTTGGTTAATGTGAAGCCCTTTTCTCTTCCACGTGTCTCTCATAATTCATAGGGCCCCTTCCCTCCTCCTTTTTATTTCTTTGCAGTACTTTTCTAGAAGCTGTACTTGGAAAAGTTACATTTTTGGGGGGACAACTGCTTCCCAAATCCTGGGGTTTCTTGCTATATATTCAAAGCTGGGCTTTAGCTAGTGCAGAGTAGAGTTGTTGTTCCCAGACTTAACGCTCAATGAATTGCTTTGTTTCTCTGAGTCTCGTGGCAACTGGACTGAGGGAGGAGAAAGTTTCATTTGGATCCGTGAGGAGTCTTTACACTCTGGCCATGCATCAGCTAGCACTCCTTGGCTTATTAGTGTGAAGGGATTTTGTGCTGTGTTGTTGCACTTCCAAACCTTGTCCACCCCACCTCTGTGACATCACAAGAACTCAGCTTTGTGACATCATAAAGACAGACCCCCTGAGTTTTTGCCCTGAAAAATAAGGGAGCTTTTGAAGGGCACCTCCAAGAGTACAAGAGCCCCCCCCCTTTATCTGTGGGATCAGTATACACTGAATCACTTATCCATGGTCTGGATATGTTTTAAAAAAATTAAAAGGAAAATCCTAGAAATACATATTTCTACAGATGTAGTTATGAGAACTGGTCATGAGAGGGAGCCAGAGACTATGATATGTATCATATTCTTATTAAACTCATGTTTGCTACCATCTGTGTTTTTCAAAATGGGGAAGAGGAACCTTGGAACACATCCTTTGCAGATATAAAGCCTTCCCCGTGTCCACCAGCTCACACTGGATGGTGGAGGGATGGTGGGTGGGTTGGACTGGGAAATGTAATTCCAAAACATAGCTTTTGGAAGCATTAAATATGACAGCACTTTCCAGCCTATTAGAGTTTCTGGAAGGCAGACAAGATCATTTTTCAGCTCACATACAAAAATTAAAAAAACAAATAACCACTCTCTAGTCTTGGATTTTTAAATCAGCAGTGGATGAAGCTAATTCATGGCCTTGCTTTTGTCATAATTTATTTGTTTCTGCTCTTCTATTGTTTCACTTCCGTTTGGTCATTGTTCACACTGTCCCTTTTAATATCCTCTATGATGCTTTTGAATTGAGGTGCTGGATGAGTCTCTTGAGAGTCCCCTGGACTGCAAAGAGAACAAGCCTATCCATTCTGAAGGAAACTAACCCTGAGTGCTCACTGGAAGGACAGATCCTGAAGCTGAGGCTCTAATACTATGGCCATCTCATGAGAAGAGAAGACTCCCTGGAAAAGACCCTGATGTTGGGAAAGTGTGAAGGCAAGAGGAGCAGGGGATGGCAGAGGATGAGATGGATGGACAGGGTCATCGAAGCAATCAACATGAATTTTGACGCAACTCCGGGAGGCCGTGGAAGACAGGAGGGCCTGGCGTGCTCTGGTCCATGGGGTCTCCAAGAGTCGGACACGACTAAATGACTAAACAACAACATTCAGACAGGCAGCCATTTCCTCCTCCTCCTCCACCACCAGGTTTATAAAAGATTACAGCAATTGCATTTAAGATGGAATCGAATTAAGAATCAAAATATTACCTTCCAGAGGTTCGTGAAGTCTGGTAAACCAACAGGACGGTGACCCCCATGACACCGAGAAGGGTCCCCACAATGATGCCAGCCACAGCTTTGGCAGTTAGTTTGCCTTTCTGTTTCATTTGTTCTAGAAAGACAAAGAGGATCAATGGCTATGTGACAGAACCAAGACGTGGCACCGGGGTGGGGGTGGGGGTGGCATTGCTCCACTTTATCACAGCTGTCTCTGAGCACCCCCTCTGTACCAGAGACACTCTACCAGCTGAACTGGCCCAACATAATTTTCTCCAGTACCTGGTTCGTCTTTCTTCTTAGGCACCCTATGAATACTGCAAATATATAAATAATAGAATGTTTAATCACTGGTTATTACTTGAAGTTGACTTCCTGCTGGGAAATGAGTATATCCCACGGCCATCGAGTTTATCCTAGTGCAAATGGGAAAAAAAGGTGTTGGGCACTATTTTCAGTTTCAGACATCTTGGCAAGGCAGATGAGTCTGACTCTATTTCTTTTTCTCCCGCTAATTAGGCCATCGAGTTTATCCTAGTGCAAATGGGGAAAAAAAGGTGTTGGGTCCCATTTTCAGTTTCAGACATCCTGGCAAGGCAGATGACTCTGGTTCTGTTTCTTTTTCTCCCGCTAATAGGCAAATAAGATGATTTTTTCTTTCTTTCTTTAAAAGCAATTTTTAATTGCTCCTTACTGAAGAGTTTTGGAATTTATAGCTCTTAGATTTGTCTACCGGCTGTGGTGACACATGCCTTAGTTACATCCGTGCTGGATTGCTGGCATGTGTTATGTGGGGCTGCCTCTGGATTGCAGCTGAGCAATCCACCATAGATGAAAATAGGCGGAACGGGCCATGGGCGCCACCTGGATTTCCATGGTAAGCGCCGGGTCCAGATGTATCCCCAAGCTGCAAACCTTGCTCTTTGCGGTGAGGGTCGACCCCCCCAAAGAAAGGGAGTCACCTATACCGCTGACGGAGGGACCGTCCACCCTCAAGACCTCCGTCTTGTCCGGGTTCAGCCTCAACCCATTCGACTGCACCCATTTCAGTACAATCTCCAGGCAGCGCTGACGGGACAGAACAGCATCCACTGAAGTCGGTGAGAAGGAGATACAGAGCTGGGTATCATCAGCATAACATACAAATACAAACTTCCCCATCTCTATTCAGGATTTTGAATAGCTCCCATAAAGTGGAGTTCCCAAGTTCCATATTACATCAAGTTTCCGAGGTCTGAAAGACATGGGCCATGTTTTTGTGGGGCGGGAAAAGGCTCAAAGGGCATTTACCTGCTATCAGTAAGAACACTTTCCCAATTTCAGAGGCCTTGTTTTCACCCTTTTGCTTTAACACGGAGTAGAAGCCACTGTCCTGCATTGTCAGGTTATTGATGTGGAGGGAACAGCGCTCTTTCAGAGTCTCCCGCTTCGTGTAGGCTTTTCCATAGTTGTACTTTGACTCGGATGGTTCGAATGTCAGGATGAGACTCTGGTCGGCCATTTCTCCTCGATACCAAGAGCAGGCAATGACATCGTTCAAGTCTCCTGCGGGCAGGATGGTGACTTCTGTTCCAACCAGAGGTAGCCATGGATCGGACGTGACAGGGATGGTAATGTTCTCAGCGCGAGTCAACAAGAAGCAAGAGGAGCTCAAGATGTGACCTGGAGAAGAGGTAGAGTGTCAGTGGGCAGAGAGACCAACAGCAGGCAAGAAGAAATGAGGTTTCAAAGTTTGCAAGTATCATGGATGGGGAGCAGAAAAAGGAAAACTTGACCATTCTGCATTCTCTTGCATCTGAGTTTCCTAAACCTGTCTTGAATGTGAAGCAATTCGCGAATTTTAGTTATTCTTCACACTGTGTGTGCGCCTAAACCTGTCTTGAATGTGAAGCAATTCATGAATTTTGGTTATTCTTCACACTGTGTGTGCGTGTGTGTGTGTCCTGTGCCGTCAAATGGGAACCCATTTATAGTGACCCTAATAGAGCTTTCAAGTTAAGGACCTGATCCACTTCTAATGATATTTCCCCTACCTCTTTTGTACTGAATTGTGGCCACATGGTATATTTATATATACCTGGATGGATGTTCCCATTTGTTTTAACATTACCGATTCATTTCATCCTGTTTGAAACGTTATGGCCAGCCAAGCCACACAAGGTGAACACACTTCTTTGAGTCATCTCCTTGGTCTCCGTTTTCACCAGCAGGATTGACATTCACATATGCACAAACTGATAAGGGATGTTCTTAAACATCATTGGAGCAAAATAACACACACCTCCAGAGGATTGAAATAAACCACAGTGACACCATTGGCTGGAAAAATGATGAGAAAATAACCAAGCATCGTGTGGCCAGAAATTTATACAACGATCTAACTAGGGTATAACCAGGGATATGGGATCAGGCCCTTTAAGTTCTATATTAAAGAAATTGTTTCACCAGCTCTACTCCCCCAGCGATTTTCCATGGTTGAGTGGGAATTGGAACTCTGTTCTCCAGAGTTTTTGTGACTCTATCCACCACACCACATGAAATGCTCTCTCTTCCATGTCAGACAAATTTAATAGGTAAAATTTTTCCTTGGATGAAGCGTTCACTAGCCAGCCATGCAGGGGTTAAATAAGAGGAGGCTTTTAGGTGGTAACAGCCCTGATTTGTCACCACTGTGGTGGAACCTAGACCATTAAAAGTCAAGCATGAATGTAGACCTGGATGGACAGGTCCACCCCTGATGGTGGTTTTGATTTTTCAAACAATTCAATTACACTCCATCCCCATTTTAAAGAGATCTATAGAAAGCCTTTTTTTTTTTTAATGAAATTCCAATTTGTTTTGACTCAAGATGAGATTCTGGAGACATACCCCGTAAAATGTGAGCAAAGGTTATTTGCAGAGATAGAGAAAGTTATTTTTTAAAGAAAAATACAGCTTTCAGAGAAAGACTAGTTGTGAGTATTATATTCTCCAAGTTAAACTTCTTTAAATGCTCGATGTTTATATGAACTTAATATTTTCATAAAATTATCCTGTGGTACCATCATCACAGAATATGGAAGGATGGCTTAGAGGGAGATGATAGCTATCATGCTATTACTACATCCAGAAAGAAGTATTGATTCTCTTCTTATGCAGTCACTATCTCAGGCTCTTTGCTTCCCACAAGATGTGTGTCTCTCACCTGCTAGAAGAAACATTGGCCAAGAGGTCCCAGATCCAGAGGGCCCCTTGTATCCCAGGTATGGTCCATATGCTGGGCGAGCCTCTTTTGAAGGTGTCAGGCTCTTAGGCATGTTGGGAAATGGTCTTCCAATCCTGCTGGACTCCAGAGTTCCCTTGGCCTTCTAAGCAACCAGCAAGCGGGGCCCGGGAAGCGTCGATGGAGCCCACCATCCCAGCTTCTCCAGGTCTTCTCCACTTGGGTTCAGGAGGGCTTCACTGCCAGCAGCATCCTCTTCCTGGGGTGGACTCCCAGGTAACAGGAAGAGGTCATAAAGCAAAGGTGTGAGCAATGGTGGGTGGGTGGGAGGGGGGTCCACAGGAAGAGGTCATAAAGCAAAGGTGTGAGCAATGGTGGGTGGGTGGGAGGGGGGTCCACTTGGAAGAGGGATCCAACTGAAAGCCAATGACCAACCCATCTGCACATTAGCCTTGCAGATCAGCCACCGGGAGAAAGTAGACATAATTTCTTTAGGTACCCTCTCTGAATATGCATTCTGCATCTCTGCAATCTGTATTCTACTGACGTTTCTGTTGCCTACAGTTCAATGCTATTCAAGGCTTTTTCAGAAGATACATGTGTGAGATACTTATAAAGATAAATTATGTTCTATTGATTTTTCTAAGAGCATTCTGATGGTAAGAACTAGAGATGGGTACAAACCTGGAATATGGTGCCCTGTGATGTTCTGTGGTTGACCACGAACCACGAACCAGCCAGAAAACAAAACAATGAACTGTTTTGGTCTTTGGTTCATGGCTAGTTGAGGGAGCGACCTTCTCCTGTCATGCATCCACTGCCACTGCAGTACCAAAGATGATGATGGCATAAGGGTAAAGATCATGATGACAGTAGCATGGTCGTGGTGTGGCTTTCTGGGAGCCTATGCGTTGTCTGTGGGCAGCCATCCAACCCCTTGCTGATCACCAATCAGAAGGAAAATAGGCATGGCATCATTGATGGCTATCATATAGCACAGTGGTTCCCAACTTTGGCTAACTTGGACTGGAACTCCCAGAAATCAAAGCCAGCATAGCTGGTGGTGAAGGCTTCTGGGAATTGTAGTCCAAGAATAACTGGGTTCCCTAAGGTTGGGAACCACCGATATAGCAAATGTTCAAGAATATAGTTAATCTGGGGAAGTAATACAGTCTTAGGGAATCTAATCAGGGAGCAGAGGTGGGGAGATGGCAAGACTTCTACGGCCAGCTTTTGGTTAACAAAGTCATTTATTTTTTTTAGAAAAGAAAAATGTTCTTTAAATTTAAGATTAGTCTACAATAAGACTTGGTCTCTGCTAAATATAAGACTAATTAATAAAGTAAGAAGCCATGGATGGTCAGGGGGAAAAAGTCAAAATAATAGCTGTCAAAGGACAAATAGCATTATTAAAATGGAAACATGTGGGCCAAACCATGAGAGAAGTGGGTGAGTGATGGAATAAAGAAAAATGTCAACTGCAACCTTGGATCGGGAGAAGGAGTAGGAGGAAGACCGCAGACTAGATGGATGGATGGATGGTTAAAAGGGCCAGCACAGATTTTGACAACAGAAATATGAGGAAGCAAAAAGGGAAATTCTTTACCCAGCTCTGGATGTCAGTTGGCTGATGATAATGATGACGATGAAGAAGAAACGACCAGTATTTAATGTGGCTTCGCTCTGACAACATAATTCCCCCAAAACATGCCACGACCTCTGCAGCTGTTTTTCCATTTGCCTCAGCCATGACAGGACTCTGTGGAGCCAGAATTCTTTTCAATAAACTATCAGCCTCCATCTTGGACCGTCTGCTCTGCCATGTTCTTTACTTCTTCCTTCCTCAGGAGAGCTGAGGGAATGGGGCAGAGGCTGCCCCACCAGTCAGGACAGGCTACCTTCCCATCAAGGGCGAGGGGGAGGATGATGAAAGGTTGGTACTTTGGCTCCCAACTGCAGCAGTGGGATGCCTGGGGTCGCTCCCTTCCTGCTGGGCATCTAGTTCCATTTTGCGTGTTTGTGTACACCAACATTGTGTGTTCATGTAGAGCAAAGCATTATTTTAGCAAAAAATGTGGGAAATTCTCAAGCTGATTTGTATTATTTCCCATTGACTACATGACACAAAAGCTGATGCAAGTCAGGCTTGAGTTACTTCTTCCCAGTCCATAATTTTTGTTTTTCTCAAACAAAAATCCACCTCATTGCACCCTCATCTCCTCTTACTTCCAGGAGGAAGTTTTCAATTTCTCTTTAATTTTTTTTAAAGTGACACAGCACATATGTACTGCCCTAATACACAATTCTTTCCTCCCCCCATCTCTTCCTCAGTCCCTCCATGGAGCTGAGGAAGTGTTTAAATGACCAATATCCTGAGGTGGCTCTCTTTTTAAGCCACTTCACAATACTGGCAAATCGACTGTGGGCTGGTGCAAAACAAATAGAGTGGCTTGAGGTCCATATGCCATTGGGAGGTGAAGATGGCACCAAATGGCATACCGGACTTCTTAATAACCCTGTTTTGCCTGTGCCAGCCAAGCCCTGATGGCAGTCAGTCAGTGGAATATTCAAAAACCTATTGAAATAGTGTTGGCCAAAGAACATGAATACACTGAGATACGGGCACTAGAGGGTTTTATTTTGTCAGCAAACAGTATAGTGTCTTTTGCCCCCAGGGTTCTGGTGGATGGGGATTGGTGCTGTAAAGCCCTTAGGATGCCCTTGATTATTTCATCACGATTTCCTCATCGATGGCATCGGGACCTGGGAATGTAGGTGGTCCGTAGACTGGGGTGATGCTGTTCCAAAGCTGATTGCAGGCAATATTCTGGGCTGAGAAGGCCTTGAGTTTACTTGCCACCCCTAGAATCACAAGAGGAGAACAAAAATGAGGAACAGCTACACTGTTTTCACCTTGTTGGGTGCACGAAATAAGAGAGATGGCATATTCTACACTGTTTGCTAAGCACCCTTCCTCAGGCTTTTTATTTGTTGACTAGATAGGAGAGAGAGGTTAGAACCACCCTTTTCATCGGGAGAGGGTCACTTCCAGAGGTCTGGGGGGGACAGAAAAATCCATTTCTTGACCTTGAGAACTTAGTTCCGCTTCCACGACTTCCAACTTACAAACTAGTTTTTCCTTACAAATAGAGATGACCAAGAACCTAAAAAGCAACTGGGAAGTTCATTAAAAAATCACCGGTTCATTGCTTCGGGTCGGTTTGGGTTCATCAAACTCAACAAACCCAAACCGGCCTGAATCGTGAATGGTTCAAGTGATTTTGACTAACTTCCTGGTTTGTTATCTCCCGCCCCGTTCCCACTGCCCCTGATGCCCCCCAACGGAGTCCTACCATCTCCTTGGTGGTGGACGACCAAGTCAGGAGGTGACGGAGGCCGTGGGAAGGAGCGGAGGGCTTAATTTTCTTTTTTAAAGGGCACAAAGTATTTTAAAAGCCCAGTTGATTCACGGTTCGCTTTTTGAAAAAGTCTGCATGGTTTGTGGCTGCCTGCAAACCATGTAGCACAACAGTTAATTTTCTTTTGCAATTTACTTAACAAAAGAAAATTAACTTTGAAAAAGCCCTCATTTGGCATTTAGTATTTTCTTTTCTAAAAAAAAAAAAACAACAACAATGTGGGTGTCTGGAAAGTGGCAGAGGGTCCTGAAAACATTGTGCCCCCCCAACCCTCCTAGACTGTACAAGGTGACTTTTTGAGCTTAGAGTCATGGGGGGGAGGGGTTACATCTGGGAATATGGCAGGGATCCTTGGCTAAATAAGGAGGAAGATCTTTCTGATGATGACAGCGGCATTACGAGTGCAAAGTGTGGGTATATGACTGAAGAAATGTCTGATTTGCTGGTCTCTATGCTGCCGTTTCCATCACAAATCGGGGCTTTGTTGCAGCTTGTAAAGAATCTGCCAAAAAAAAAGGTGGCCACATGCAAAGGAGAACCGGGCTCCTGTGTCTTTCAAGAGTTGTGCGGAAAATGGGATTGAGCACAATTCATCTCTCAGGGAAAAAGTCATTCCACACTGCTAGTCACTCTAAATGTCGGTCTTCCTATTGTACATTACATCTGTCTTCGTCGGAAGGCTCCTTCGCTCCCCAAGAGGGGAGGGGAATTCCAGGACGTCCGGCTTTGTCCAGGCGGACGGATAGCCGCGTTCCATAGGTAAATGCCGAGTCTTTTTGGAATGTGAGCACGCAAGTGTCAACCAAAAGTTCATGGATTCTTACTTGGCTTTAGGTGCGCCCTTCGCTGCAGGTTTCGATCTGAGGGAAAAAAAGGGATGAGAAAAAAAGGGTGAGAGGCTCGTCTTGACCCCCATCAACTGAAGCACAGAAGAAATATCAAAAGCAACAACAATATTCGCAATGCACAGACAATATGCATGTTTTCTGGCCTTAGACCTGCAGTTACCTAACAGCTGATAGGCTGTTTTCGTTTTAAAAGGGCACACAAAGTCTTCTTGAAAACCAGCTGATTTGTGGGTTGGTTTGTCTTTTTTTTTAAAAAAAATGTTCAGGTGGTTTGTGATTCTTGGCTATCCATGAACCACAAACCACTTTTTTCCTTTGATTTGTGACAATCTCTACTTACATAAAGAAAATTAACTGAAAAGCCAGGGGTTTGTTGTTGTTTTTTGAATGTGAGCATTCAAGCATTAACCAAGAGGTCATGAAATCTTACTTGGCATCAGGACCGGATGAGGCCCCCGCTGGAGCATTCGCCCTTGCTGTTTGGGGGCTAAGGAAAGAGGGAGGGGAAAAAAAGAGTGAGTTAGCTCATCTTGACCCCCATCAACCGAATCACAGACGAAATCTATTGACAAAAGCAACAATAATATATATAATGCGCATATAGTCTGCTTGTTTTCTTGTCTTAAAATCTACATTTACTTTCTCACATCTGTGTTTAAATTCGAAGCTCTGCCTTTCCATCTTCCTCTCCTTTTTCACTCCCCCTTTTCTCCATCTTATCTAGATTGAGGAGATACTGGGAGCCTATAAAGGCTGCTAGTGGAACATTTATAATTTCTATGGGGCCATCTTGGAAACACAGCCTCATAAAACGAGCCTCTTCCTATCTGCATTTGTATTGCAACAGGCAATATGAGCAGTGTCAGCAACAACAAAATGCTACCGTTTGTGCACCAAAATGCTTGGCAACAGAGGATTCCCGGCAGAATTTCCAAAGCCCAAGTGTCCCTTTGATTTCAAAGTCAGGGGGAAAAAAATCCAAAATCAACTGGATTGGGTATCCAGGAGAATTTTCAAAACCTTAAACCAAGTTAGCGAGGGCCCTAATACTCCAACTGACAAGAGCAGCTCCACTCTCCTGCTCTTTCAGATTCAAACCTCTTACTCCCAGCCCTTCTCTTTCTTAGTCCCACCCCTTTGTGCTGAACCAATATTTCGTAAGGATTACACTAGCAGACGCCTCCTGTAAATAAGGCTCCAGGCCTTCAGATGCTAGGCAAAAATCTTTCAGGGGGCTTTGGAGATCAGCTGATCCTCCTGTGTTTTTAATCACTACTCTAAAAGGGCTTCTTTCTGGCAGTTGATGTGCAATCCAATCCAGTCCTGGAACTGCAGAGCTGGAAGGGACCCTATAGCTCATGGATTGCAGCCTCTGTCAAGGAAGCACCATGGGGGAATCGAACTCCCAGCCTTTGGCGCCGCAGCCAGATGCCTCAACCCACCGAGCTAGCCAAGCAGCATTTTGTACTGATTGATTAGGAGCTGGTGTAGAAGTTCAGTTTGTCCCTTCGTGGGGTTCTTTGATTCTTGCCCTTTCTTGTACCTGTTTAAATGTCCCAAGAACTACCTGAATTTATCGTTTAGCTAGTTCTTGGGACATTTGCAGTTAGCCCCTTTGGAGTTTTATTTGTTCCTACAGGAGTGAAGTAAAAGGCATTTCCACAAGGTATTGGATCGCTGAGTGGTTTAGGCACCTGGAATTCCAACTTTTGGGTTGTTCATGTTTTTTTAAAAAATGCACTATCGGTAATATATTGATGCACAGCCTGAAGAAGACTAGTATAGGTTGAAAGCTAGCAGTTAGTTTTTTTTAAAAATTATTTTATTTTAGTGGCCTGAATTAAGATATCGCCTGCCCTGGCCTTTGTATTATGCAAGGATCACACAGCTTGGGCGGTTAGCTTGTTTTCTGAATAAACAATGAATAAATCAATACCACCTTGAACCCGAGGAGGCTTCGTACCCCACCACCCCTATCAGAAAGGCGATTCCAATTATGCAGCCGACAACGATCCCTAGTAAAGCAAAGTCAGATAAATCGACTTTCTTTAAAGATAGTTCATCTTCTTCTGATTCCTTTTCTGTAGGCAGAAGGAAAAACTGTATGAGACCCAGGAAGTAGAACCCCCTCAATTATTGTAACTGACTATTGGTGCATCAAGCATTCCTATCTATCTATCTATCTATCTATCTATCTATCTATCTATCTATCTATCTATCTATCTATCTATCTATCTATCTATCTATCTATCTATCTATCTATCTATCTATCTATCCTGAGCAGAGCTTGGAAAGTTTCTTTTCAAAAGTAATTTTTTCCAGTTACTTGTTACAATCTTTGAAAAGGAACTCTCTTTTGTTCCTGGTTACAATGCTGAAAAAAGGAACTAGTTAAAAGTTACTGGTTGTGCTGCTCCTTTTCATTTCTTCTCTCTCTCTCTCTCTCTCTGCCCCTTTTAAAAAACTTGTGTTTAATTAGAGGGTGGCATAAAAGGTGAAAATGTGCTGTCAATAATGACTCAAAAATGTCTTGAATTACCCTTTAAAAGTTCTTTTGGAAAAGTAAAATGTTGCTCATTATGTCTAGAAAGTAACTACATCCCTACTTGTTGAGTTACTTGTGAAATGGAACATTTCCATAAGTAATGAGTTATATGTAACTTAATGATTTACATGTAACCACAGTAATTAGAACTTGCTATTTTTCAGCTCTGGTCCTGGACACACATCTCTTCATTCATGTAACATAGTGTGTAACTTGCTACTTTTATTCTTAGAAACAGAAAGATCATTTTTCTTCCCACTTTCCATTTCTCTCAGTGCGTTACCCTTGCTGTGCTGGCCCCTCCTTTACTTTAGCAGTGCTGAGGTCAAGACTTTGAGTGAGAAAGGCACATCATGCTTGGGCCAAGAACTTAGAAATGTGCTTTCTGTTGGGTTGCAACTTCAAAACACATGCATATGAATAGAACATTCTTGAACCTTTTGCTGAGTGCATAAGGTTCTTGTAGGTTTTGATCCCGGCATACTTATTTTTTTATTAACTATGTCAGTGTACACCGACTGGAAAGAAACTCACTCAGGAGTCATGTGGAAGAGGTAGTCCAGCCTTCATTAAACCTGGACCAGAATCAAATTGGAATAAATCCCATTTGGGGCAGAACAAGAATCAAAACTGGATGATCTCCAAATTGGAACAGAGTACAACGGTGGGAAAAGAAATCAATGCTTGGAACAAGTCAAAAGCATGGTTCAGGAGGATCCTCATATCCACTGGAGATTGGTTCCAGGCCTTTCCGCACATGCTGAAAACCGCAGATAATAGTTAATGCTATGCATGGTAAGGTAAAAGGGGGAAAAATTAATGTATATATTCACATGCATTACCAGTACTGGCCACTAGAGGACACCACAGACCATACTATGTATTCTTCAACAACAATAATTCATAGCATGGTCTCTGGCTTACTCTAGTGGCCAGTATTGGTAATACATGTGAAAATATTTTTTTCTGGATTTTTTCTTTTAATATTTTTAATATTTTCAGACTGCATATAAGTGAAACCATAGATACTGATTCTGTGGATACAGGGTCCTACTGTAGCATGCTATTTTATAGGTTAATGCCGTACATCTTTTTTTTTAAATTAAAGTTAATGATAACATGGTTTGGGGGCTACAAATATGTTCAGTCCAGCAAGGTTGATTTTTAAAAAGGTTTCTGTCTTCCCAGCCAGCACACGGGGCCCTTATAACATGCCAGTTGTTATCCAGTTGTTTTACCAGCCCTACTTTCAAAAAATAGCTTCAGGATTTTGTAAAATCCTGAGTCATGCAACAGCATCCATATTGGCTGTTTCCCCCCCACACACACACACACACAATTTACGTCAGGTTGGGCAGAGGTGGATCTGACTTAACCCAGTTGACTGCATGATGTAGAACTCAAAGTGGGGAAGCCCATTATCGAATCCTCTTTTTTTAGAGTGGGTTGGTTGGGGTTTTTTTTTTTGGCTCAGCCCACAGAGACGGTTCAAATTTGTTCCAAATTCAGTTGGCATCCCTTTCGTCCACTTTCAGTTAATCAGCCCTTGCAGGGCTGTCAGTTCTCCCACCCCCACCCCGAGCACCCCTATTGAATGCCCCGAGTCTCCATATAGTGCCTTAAACACGGCTTTTCCTTGCTGATTCCTGCAAATTGTAGTCTGGTTGGCTACACGTCAAAGGGACGTGGTGGTGCTGTGGGCTAAACCACAGAAGCCTGTGCTGCAGGGTCAGAAGACCAAGCAGTCGTAAGATCGGATCCACGTGACGGAGTGAGCGCCCGTCGCTTGTCCCAGCTCCCGCCAACCTAGCGGTTCGAAACCATGCAAATGCACGTAGATAAATAGGGACCACCTGGGTGGGAAGGTAACAGCATTCTGTGTCTAAGTCACACTGGCCACGTGACCACGGAAGACTGTCTTCGGACAAAACGCTGGCTCCATGGCTTGGAAACGGAGATGTGCACCGCCCCCTAGAGTCGAACACGACTGGACAAAAATTATCAAGGGGAACCTTTACCTTTACCTTTTGACTACACGGACTCGCCTAAGAAAACCTGATTCGATAAATTGCAATTGCACAGTGGGTCAAACTGTATTTTCCCAGCTGTGTAGTCGCACTGTAACTGAATTTAACTCCACCTCAAAACTGGAGTCTCTAAGTTCCAGGTTACATCAAGTTTCAAAGGCCTGGAAGAAAGGGCGTTTTGGGGCAGGAAATAGGCCATTTACCTCCAACCAGTAAGAACACTCTACCAACTTCAGATTCCGCTGCTTCACTCTTCTTGTGTACTATGAAGAAGGCATTGTCTTTCGCTGTTAGATTAGCAATGTGGAGATGACAGTTCGGTTTTATCGTCTCCCGTTTGGTGTAGGCTTGTCCATAATGGATTTGAGACGTGGGTGATAGCTCATACACTACGATGAGGGACTCGTTGGTTCTGTCTCCTCGGTACCAGAAGCAGGCCGAAACATTTTTTAAGACTCCTCCTGGGATGAGGGTAACTTCGCTTTCTCTCAAAGGTATCCAGGGCTCCGACTTAATAGGAATATTTGTTTCGGCTTGAATCAACCAAAAGCAAGAGGAACTCAAGATGCAACCTGAAAAAGAGATAGATTTTCAGTTGAAAGAGAGGGCAGCAGTATGACGAGTATAAATGAGGTTTCAAATCATCCAGCCCTTGAGGGGGAAACCTGACTGAAGAGAATGGTCTTTGCCTGCTTGCAGAAGGGCAGCCAAGAGGGGGCCAGGCTGGCCTCCTGTGGGAGGGAGTTCCAAAGTCTCTGGGAGCAGCCACAGAGAAGGCCCCTCTCCTGTGTCCCCACCACATGCATCTGCGAAGGTGGTGGGACTGAGGGAAAGGCCTCCACTGATGATCTTAACACCCAAGCAGGCCCATAAGGGGAGACGCGGTCCTTAAGATGCCATCAAGAATCTGGAGCAGAGGAAATAAAAGCTGTCCATTCCACCTAAATCCTAAATTCTTTCTCTCTTGAATGTGGAACTATTTGTTCATTTGGTAATACCTCAAACTAAGTGACAAAAAAAAATTCCACCCCTTCTGCCTCAGAGAAATTCAATAGGTAGAAATATTTTGTGGATGGAGTATTACCTAGTCAGCCATATAGGGCATAAAGATGAGGGGTCCTTTAGCTGGAAACACCCTGATTTACTATAACACTGCAGTGGAAAAGGCAGGGATTTGGATCCAGACTTTTAAAAGTCAAGGATGCGCTTGAGCTGGGATGAGCAAATTCACCCACTCTTAGTTTCCGGAAGTTTTTGTTCTCAAGGGCCATTCTGTCCCAATTTTGGAGAGATTTGTGGAGATTCTTATCAAAAATTTTTTTGATGAATTTGACTTAAAGCTGGTGACTGGACAGTGTAAAGCTCAAGGCGGGGCAGCCCACTGGGGAATCATCTTCATCATTTTAACTCACTATGGGGCTCTAAAGAAATACCACCTGAAGTAGGAGTAAAGGGTAGCTACAGTGATGAGGGAAATTTACTTTTTAATAAAGCCATCTCTAAGGGTGACACTGGCTGTGGGGTATTATCTTCTCCAGACTGAACTTTAAAAAGCATTCGGTATTTTATCAAATCTCTATCTTTTTTTACAGAATTGTCTCGTGGTGCCATCACCCTGGTACCTAGTGTGGCACCGAGGGAGAGAGTGACGGAATAGGATTCTAGACACCAGGGGTCGAATCCGTGGAAAATCACTTGGGCGGAAATTCACTTTGGGGTGTGGAACTGATCAAACCACACCCGTAAATATCTCAGTTACCCCCCCAAAGCCCTATTACAGTCACTATATGCCAGTTCTGACTCGATGACACATAACCATCACCACAGAGTTTGGAAGGACGGCTTAGAGAGAGTCATGATAGCTATCATGCCATTGCTACACCCAGAAAGAAGTATTGGTTCTCCTTGCTTCCCACAAGATCTGTGTCTCTCACCTGTTAGAAGAAACACTGGCCAAGAGGGCCCCTTGTATCCCAGGTATGGTCCATATGCTGGGCAAGCCTCTTTTGAAGGTGTCCGGCTCTTAGGCATGTTGAGAGATGGTCTTCCAATCCTGCTGGACTCCAAAGTCCCCTTGGCCTTCTAAGCAACCAGCAAGCGGGGCCCGGGAAGCGTCGATGGAGCCCACCATCCCAGCTTCTCAAGGTCTTCTCCACTTGGGTTCAGGAGGGCTTCACTGCCAGCAGCATCCTCTTCCTGGGGTGGACTCCCAGGTAACAGGAAGAGGTCATAAAGCAAAGGTGTGAGCTATGGTGGGCAGGGTGGTTGGTTGGTTGGGGGGGGGTCCACTTGGAAGAGGGATCCAACTGAAAGCCAATGACCAACCCATCTGTGCATCAGCCTTGAAGATCAGCCACCAAGAGAAACCAAGATATTCAGTGGGTTGAGGATCTGGTTGCAGAGCCAGAGGTTGGGAATTCGATTCCCACTTGGGCCTCCTTAACAAAGCTAGATTCAATGACCCATGCCAGCTCTAAGATGATGATGGTTTCTCTAGGCATCTTCTCTAAATGTTCAGCTTCACATTTAAAAACCAAACACAGATGTCTGAACTCTTCTAAATCCAAAGATATATGGAAATGCATGCAGACAGGACTATATCTCATTACCTGTTCAGAAGCAAATTTGATCCCACCTTTCAGTGGCTGAAATCCTGTTGCTTATCATAGTGTAGTGTAAGCCCATTTGAAAAAAATGGGACTTACGCAGGAGTTGGCTCCCCAAATCCCCACTGATTCATTGGTGTTACTCTAGTGCAACTTGCTACATTCAGCAGCGGGATTCCAACTGGCGTTTCGGCCAATGAGTACGATGGTCTTCTTGACTATCACGAGGCCATTATTAAATGGAAGTGTGAGCGATATAGAGTGCAATTCAATATCTAACTGAGGTGTTCTCTATTTGTAACCTTGGTGATGCCACTAGACTGTGTTGATCAACCTCAATGCTAAGGGCAACGTATCTTTCCTGTGTTTAACACGGTTTCTCTCGGACAACAAAATTTTACCAGAATTTTTTTAAAAAATAAATGATTGCTTCCATCTTTGACCAGTTGCTCTGCCATCAAGGGCGAGGGGAAGGATGATAAAAGGGTGGTACTTTGGCTCCCAACTGCAGCTGGGTGTCTAGTTCCAACTTCCATGTTTGTGTACACCAACATTGTGTGTTCATGTAGAGCAAAGCAACTCAACTCTCAAGGCTGGAGTAAAGCGATGCAAGGAAGCATATGACCAACCAACATTGAGGAAGTTAATAATAATTAAAGCCCTTTGCAAAGAATTTCCTCAACATCTGGAATTTGATCCCGATCTTCAACGTACAGCAGAGATGAAGAGAGAGGAATTCACTGAGAGCAGGAAATCACTTGTTTACAGCTTATTAAGTAGCTCTTCTTTAACTGTGCCTCTTGGAAGGCTACAAAGGAGCTACATCAACAAGCTGCAAATAAGGCTGCTTAGCCAATTTCCTCCATTCCCTCCATGGCTGTTTAAGTTGAACAGACCCTGGGAAACCTGATTTTTCTGTTGTGACTTCACAGCAAGCGAATGTGCATTTCTCTTGCTGTGTAGCCACATCCTTAGCTGTTAAGGCTGGAATGTAGTAATGCAAGTGAGAGACTGAGGCAAGATCCCTTTGGCTTCCAGGTGCATTTTCAAACTGAGATGATGAGCAAAAGAGTCTCCACTTCAAAAGGACAATTGCTTTACTGTGTGTCGCAATTTATATTGAAGCTTTATACACAGCACAGTTGACACCAAACTTTTTGCCATCTATTTTTTGGCCTCATGTGTTACAGGACCACTTGGCCAGCCTTAGTCATGGCTCTGATTGTGTGCTTGCAGGATGTGGATAACTAAGAACAATGAAGTTGTTCAGCTTTTATCTTGCATATATCTTTTTATATAGATGGACATTCTTGCTCTCAGTAACATTCTCTTTCCCTCCCAAGCATTTCTACTACTGCATACTTCTCTGGCCAACCTGATTGGACATCAGATATCATGGAACCCCCTTATTCACAGGACCAGTATCCACTGATTCACTTATCCACAGTTGAAAATATGAAACATATTTTTTAAAAATCCTAGAAATATATAGTTCTAAAGATGAAGTTACAAGAGCTGGCAACTAGAGAGAGCCAGGCACCATGCTATATATAGCGTTCACTATCAAAATAGTGTTTGCTATCATCTGCGCTTTTTTCTGCATCCACAGGTGGATACAGAGATACTACTGTAACGATTCCTTTTCTCTAGGTGGCTTTTATTTATTTAATTAATTTACCATATTTTTTCCGTGTATAAGACGCCCCCCCCACTTTTCTAATCCAAAATTAAGAAAAATAAGTGGGTCTTAGCAAGTGTACGGGGAAAGGGATCAAAGCACTGCAGGATCACTCTGATCCCTGCTTGTTTTTGTTCTCTCCTCAGCTTACTTCCGTGTATAAGATGACCCTCAATTTTTAGTCTAAAGGTTTTAGACAACAGTATAGTCTTATACATGGAAAAATATGGTATATCCCACCCATCTAGACCAAAGTCTACTGTGGGCGGCTAACAACAAATTCATAAAACAATTTTTGCTGATTATTCTAAGCAACAACCTTCAATGGATACAACATGGCCGACTGTCCTCCGTCCTTCCCTGATCTGTCTGTGGTAAAATTATGGCCGTCAGCTTGTAGGACATGAAGAAACTATTTGAAATAGTGCTGGCAGAAGAATCTGAATACAGCTAGAAGTGGGCACTGGAAACTTTTATTTTGTTAGCAGACAGGATGATCCATTTGTCTCCTGGGGTTCTGGGTAAGTTTCCCCGTTGGTGCTTTGAAGCCATGAGAATGTCTGTGATTATTTTGTCGTGATCTCCATGTAGAGGGCATCTGGAGCTGGTCATGTAGATGGTCTGTGGATTTGTTTGATGCTTCTTTCCCCATCTTCCCAAACTCGTACTTACTTAGACCAGCCTATCCCTGGTCTTCTGACTGTCTGCTCACTCGCTCTCCTGTAGAAGCAAAGAGATTTTAGGTGGTGCAAATCAAGATGGGATCCTGCACCATCACACCATAATATCTCCACCCCTCTTTCCCAGTCTTTTCTGCCACCATTCTTCCATTTGGCTGAAAACACAAATCTCACCAACTATTGTCTGAATAAAGAGTGACAATCCCGAGTTGGATGATGTTTCACAATGTTGAAGCCAAGGGACAAACGTTCCCTTTTTGAGCTACAGTCTCTGGATTCATATAGCTAACATACCTGTAGTCCAGAAAGGAACATTTGTCATTTAGAAATATTGCATTGCAAATAGCAGGGCTGTATTATTCCAGCTGAAGATGGAGAAGTGCAGCACTGATTGGCTGCAGCATGGGACGTCACAAGCCATCGGCTCTTTCCAACACATGCCTTAATTACCTCCAGGCTGGATTACTGTAACACGCTATACATGGGGCTGCCTATAGAAAGTGGCAGCCAGGTTACTAACAGGGATCATATAAACTCCTGTTACAGCAGCTCCACTGGCTGCCGATCTGTTTCCAGGCACAATTCAAAGTGCTGGTTCTAACCTATAAGGACGTCAATGGCTTGGTCCCAAGCTAACTCAAGGACCATGTCTCCCTTCATGAGCCTGTTTGAGTGTTAAGATCATCAGGAGATGCCCGTCTCTTGGTCCCACCTCTTTCACAGGTGCACTTGGTGGGGACACAGGAGAGGGCCTTCTCTGTGGCTGCTCCGAGACTTTGGAACTCCCACCCACAGGAGGCCACCCGCTGGCCTCATCTTTATTATCCTTTTGCAAGCAGATGAAGACCTTTCCCTTCAGGCAAGCTTTCTCTGAATGATTGTCTGCCTGACTGGGGTTTTCTTTTTAATGGACTGTTGCACCTTATTGCCTTGAAACCACATTTCCTGGGGAAAAAATTAAAATCATCATCATTATTATTATAGGATTATAATATTTTTTCCGGGAAATGCGGATTCATGTATTTTTGTTCCTTTAAGTTTGTAAGCTTCCCTGAGCATGATTTTGAGTGGAAAAGTGGGACACAAATATAGGAGATAAATAGATAGGTTTCAGAATGATAGCGTTCGAGCACTCACCTACAGAATACTGGGTGCTTATCCAGCTCCTGAACCAGCTCTGATATACCGAATGGGACCTCCCGGTAATATATCACTACTAGGGGGGAAAGGGAGAAATAAAGAGTGAGAACCTCACCTTGTTCCCTATCACAGGTGAAGCTTATTACAAAAGGAGCAACAATGTGTAATGCATAGATAGTCTCTGCATGTATAGGACTGGAGCAGAGCAGAGCTGCTGGCAGACAACATTCATTGAAACCAGATTTAGGAGTTTCTGTAAGCAAGTTCAAAAATCTTTCCTCCCGCACTGTCATTACATTTGATGCCTAGTAACATAATTAATGGTATTTTTTTCCCCTTAAAGTTTGCCCTATTCTTACCCTCTGCAATGATTCCTCCTCTCCAAGAGTCACTATTTCTGTACTAGGCACTGTGCAAAATTTAGTGTCAAATAGAGGGTTGCTCTATTTTGTACCGATGATGAATCATTCAATTCCTCATCATTTCGGCCTGTGTGAACATTGCTGTCAATTTATTTCCTTTGTAAACGGGGTGGGTTTCTAGGTGCTGTGGCCACTTCATGGCCACTGTGCTTGTACTCTTTTTTAAAAAAAAAAACCTTTTAAAGATATACTGACAAATTGGCATGAACACATATCTTAGGAGACAACTCAAAAGATACGTACTGCCTCTCTTATGGGTAAAATATGGCTTGAGGAGAAAAATTCCCTGCATTGAAATGTAAAGAAAGGAATGTTGCATCTCCTCTTTCTTTATTTTTTTAATCCCTGCTCTTCATGATACTTTGCAAAGGGATCGGGAAAAGGAGAGAAGGGAAAAGGGGAGGAGGAGAGAAGGCTTGGACCTCTTTACTGCACTGTCTATGTACTGTATCAGTTTTGTTATTTTAAAAAAAGAGAACAAGGCAGGGCCTGATTGCCCCAAGAGAGAAAATGAATCGATACAAAATTAAGAGCAGTGTAGCCTGCTGTAATGGTTCAGATAGGAGGAAATCAATTGATATAGTTAAAAAAACAATGAGGACATTTGCACTGGTATATATTTTTACATGACTGCAAAAATAAATGTTCAGCAAATGCATGGAAAGAATCAATATAACTGTTTTTTTTTTGGCAGGTGTGATTAGGCCTTAAGTTGCACTAGAGTAGGTGCATTGGATCATTGGAAGTTTGATGGGCCAGCTCTTCTGCAAATTCCATCCGTTCAAGTGGCCCTGCTCCGCATACAATTTCTGCGTAGTAAGTCACAACTAGAGTACACCCATTCAATCAATGGAACTTATGAAGCCATAGGCTCACCAAATCCCCACTGATTCAATGGACTTTAGTGTGACTTACTAAGCCCAGCAACAGGATTTTAGCCAATTTGTGCCCGAGTTGCTTTACCTCTTGAATTATTTCTGCTTTCCCACTTTGTGGGACTGATTTACTGTTTGTTGCTCAGGTTGCTCTTGTGAGGAAGGAAGGAAGGAAGGAAGGAAGGAAGGAAGGAAGGAAGGAAGGAAAGCATTTCTGAAAAATATTACATTGGATCATAAATAAATCAATATTACCTTCCTGCAGAACGTGTGCTAGTGTGGTAAGCAATAAACCCAACCAGCACAGCAAGTCCTACCAGACAGCCGACAATAAGAATTAGTTTAATCACGTCAGATGCCTCGACTTTATTTGATGTTGCATGATGATCTTCTTCTTCTTCTTCTTCTAAAGGCACAAGGTAAAACAGGATAAGAAGCAGGAAGTAGAACAATGGGTGCTTCCTCTAACTAATCTGGATTCAGTCAAAGATCCCTAGACTATCCTTCAGTCCTGGAAAGCTCTTTTTTAAAAAAGAAACTAACATTTCACATTACTTATTACAATCTTTGAAAAGGAACCCCTTGTCATTACTCATTACAATACTGAAAAAGGATGTACTTCATGTTACTGATTGCAAGGCTTCGTTTCCATAGCTTCCCCTTCCTTTTTATTAAATGCTTACATTTCATTAGCAAGTGACATAGACTTTGAAGACGGTCTGTCATGACGACTTCAAGAACACCTTGAAATGCCTTTTAAAAGTAACTAGAACATACTGTACAGCTCATTATGCCTATGAAGTAATTATCTTCCTCCTCACTGAGTTACTTTTGAAACAGGACATCAGCCCGGCCTGTTGTTTCCAAAAGTAACTAGAGTCTCAGCTCTGATTCTGGACAGTCACCACCTCGTTTCATTCAAAGGGACATACATAGTTTGGTTTTTTGGAAACTCAGAGGTCATCTCTTCTATAATTTCTCTCAGGACGACCCCACTCCTTGTGCTGGTTGATTTTAGTTTCACACACACACCCAGCTTAAAAAAAAAAAAGGAGAGAGAGAACGTCCAAACTGGGCTCAAAAGAGAGAGAGACACAGTTTGCCTCAGATCTTGCCTATATCTGCAACGAGGCTGGCCTGTCTTACGGAGAAATTGTAAGTGTGAGAAATGTGCCTGATGAGAAAACTGAAAGTTGTTCACCGATGGGCCTGAGAAGACAAAATTCGCTGGAAAAGACAATACAGTGGTGCCTCGCTTGACAATGTTAATTCGTTCCAACGAAATTACTGTAGAGCGAAAACATCGTAAAGCAAAAATTTAAAAAGCCCATTGAAATGTATTGAAACCCATTCAATGAGTTCCAATGGGCTGAAAATTCACCGTCCAACGAAGATCCTCCATAGGGGCGGCCATTTTCGGATGCCTGTATAGCGAAAAATGGCTCCTAAAAACAGCAGGGAGCCATTTTGTACACCTGGCAGCCATTTTGAAACTCGACAATCAGCTGTTTTTAGATAGTCATAATGCTTTCCTGAGGCAGGGAATCAATCATTGTGAAGCGGATTTTTCCCATTTAAACCATCGTTTTGCGATTGCTTTTGGGATCGCAAAAACCTAATCATCAAGCAATTTCCTCGTTAAGTGAGGCAATTGTTAAGCAAGGCACCACTTGGAATGCTAGGAAAGGCAACAGGAAAAGAGGAAGACCAGGTAGGAAATGGATTTGCTCCCTAAGGAAGCCACAATCTTGAATTTACAAGAACAGATGTTCTGGAGATCGCTCATTCACAGGTTTGCCATAACTCAAAGGCAACTGGGCGGCTTATAATAACAATCACGACAAAGGACTACAGATAAGTTGCCATGGTCATCAGCATCTCATTATGGTTCCTGTACAAGGCATTTTCCCCAGTTGTTCAAGGGGACTTTTCAAAGAGCCTTCGCAAGAATTCAAAACCCTTTCCCCAAAACACTCAGAAGCGAAACTCTAAGTGTTCTCTGGATGCAAAAAAGAAAGCCAGGGGTCATGCACCTTCCTGCGTCTATAAAGGATGGGCAAAGAGACCATTTGGGTCATGAGTAGGCTAGTCCTGCCTCAGTTTCCTACCTACATCTACAGCTGAAAGGTCACAGGCATGGCGTTTTCACTTTTATTTCTTAAATTTTATATACCGTCCCAGTAGTGCAACACATTATTCTGGGAGGTTTACAGTGAGATAAAACAGGCAAGCCATCAAGTCAAAATAGAACACGTAAACAATAGCAGAAGCTCAAGGTGCATGAATTATAACTGATAAGCAGAATGGATTTTTAAAAAAATCAGAGTGAGGAACCGAGAGAGACATCTCTGAAAAGAAGTGCTTGAAACATGGACGGGAGGAGCAAAGTGCTGCTCCACCAGGGGTGGACCTAGTGGTGTGGGTCAATGACATTGAGAAAAGGTGCCCCAATAAGTTGTATGGTTCACACCATGGAGGGCTTTGTTGGTGATCATCAGAAACTTGAATCTGACCCAAGAGATAGCCAGTGCAGGTGATCTAGGACTGGAGAGATATGGCCAAATTCACTTATACCAGCCACCAGTTTGGCCACTGCATTAGCCACCTCCTGCGATCTCTGGATCAGCGTCAAAGGGAAGCCCCATGTAGACAGCACTGCAGTAGTCAATCTGGGAGAGGACCAATGTATGCACCAATGTTATGAGGGACTCCTTGGGCAAGTAGGGGTGGAGTTGGGCAGTAAGCAACTCTGGAAATGGCAGCATTAATCATTCTTAAGCAGTACGGCTTACAACGTATTGTTAAGAGAGGATCATAGGATCCGGCCTTAGGCAGGAAATGTATACAAAACCTTTATGTCTGATCATTAAGAATGTGTCCCCATATTCAGATGGAAACTCCTCATATCTTTGCTTGTGGAGTAGGTATAAGTCCTCATCCTCCATCGTTAGACCAGTGATGTGGAGGGAGCACTGCAATCCTATAGTCTCACGCCCGGTATAAAATTTTCCATAATGGTATTTGGACTCTGGTGGCAGTTCATAGATGAAGATGAGACTGTGGTTGGACATTTCCCTTCGGAACCAGCAGCAGGCAAAAACATCTTCTATGTTTCCTTCTGGAATGATTTTGACTTCCGTTCCTTCCAGAGGTAACCATGGATCCGGCATGACAGAGATATTAATGCTGTCAGCTTCCGTCAGCAGCAAGCAAGAAGAGATGAGGATGTGACCTGGGGAAAGATGTTTATTTATTTACAGTAGGATCCCCATGGGAGATTGGTTCCAAGTTCCACCATGGATGCAGAAGACCATGGATAATGGTGAACACTACACATAATGGGAAAGGGAGGGGAAATGGGGGAAAATATTTTCACATGCATTACCAGGACCAGCCACTAGAGGGAGCCGGAGATACAATGCTTTATATTCATGTTGTTGGAAAATACATAGCATTATCTCTGGCTCCCTCTAGTGGCCAGTTCTGATAAATACATAGTAAATATATATACAGTGGTGCCTCTCATAGCGATCGCTCCATTTAGCGATGAAATCGCTTTGCGACGAACATTTTGCGATGTTCCCTATGGGGTATTTTCGATGACCAATCATTGCAAAGCGACCATTTTCACACAGCTGATTGGTGGTTTCAAAATGGCCACCGGGAAAAAAACATGGCTGCCCGCTGTTTTCTGGGATGGATTCCTCGCTTAAGAGGCACCAGAAATGGTCTCGCTATGGAGGATCTTCGCTGAATGGTGAGTTTTAAGCCCATAGGAACACATTAATCACATTTTTATGCGTTTCTATGGGCTTTTTAAATTCGTTTTTTATTTCGTATTGTGACGTTTTCGTTCAACAGCGTTAATTCGCTGGAACGAATTAACGTCGCAATGCGAGGCACCACTGTATTGTTTTTTCTTTCAATATTTTTAATATTTTCAAACCACATATAAGTGAATCCGTCGATACCACAGATACAAATGTCTGACTATACCACTTGACTCAGTATTAGGTGCTACTCTGAGCAGTTTACGGCAAAACCAGTAACCTACCAGCCCAAAAAATTATCAGTATTAACAACCACGAATAAATCATGTACCCTCATTTAAAAACCCAAATGGTGTCAAAATCAGGGAATACAATTATGAATTAACTTAAGAGAAAAGATAGATGTTCTTCATTTCAACCACTTTAGGGCAGCCACTTACAATCATCAGCAAAAAGGTAATGAAAGATGGAGGGCATGTATTTGTTTATGTGTACTGGTGCAGAAAATTAGAATGTATGTTTGTAATCTAGGGAGAATTAGGATGCATTTCATTCAAGTGAGGAAGACCGCAACTTTGTGCCTGTTTCGTCCAGGTAGTCACTGTGAACAAACTAGGAGCCTCAAGATCTCTCCTCTCTCAATTTATAGCTCTCCATCTTTACATAAGACCTTCAGTGCAAACTAAACTTGACGATATACTGGAATCGGAAGGGGGAGCCAGCAAAAACAACCCCCGTTCTAGCTGATCTCATGATTTCTTGGGTTTCTGACACATTTGAACAGTCTTAATCTGAGGCACGTTTCCACCTGATCTGATTACATTTGGAAACGTTGTTAGAGGAAACAAACCGAGACAGGTTTCTTTCCCAGCCCGAATCAGAACAGGCTTTGAAACTCAGGCCCAAGAAATGGGCACGAAGAGAGGATTTCAGCAATGGGCAAAGCTTTTTAAGGATGCTAACTCCCCAAAATCACACTAGCTGTGAGATCTCATCGTCTGAGCGAACTATCTTTAGCAATCAGTGGATGTTTCATATCGTGCTAATATTTTAGAAAATCAACATACTGTAACCAGAATTTGGGATGGATGGATTATATCAATGATGCCATGGCAGCCTTCCAATCAGCTCGATACCGGGTGGTCCCCCTTTGTAACCCTCTTCTGAAAACCCATCTCTTTAGGCAGGCTTTTAACAATCCTCATTGAGTCCCTGAATGCCTTTTTAAAGTTAAGATAGTTTTTTAAATGTTGATTTGCTTTTGATGATTCAACTATATTTTAATTAGCTGATAGTTTATTATTAATTTTTTAATGTTTAACTTCTTGCGTTTTTAATCCCATTCTTTTTACTATTGTGAGCTGCCTTGGATCCCTTATCGGGAGAAAGGCAGCCTATAAATAAAGCCAATGAAGAATAAATAAGATAAATAACATCACCGCAAACACACCCAGTTCTCTCGCCTTTGAGAAGCTACCATTCATAGCAGGGAATATTGTGGAAGACGGAGCAACAGTCTCACTACGGATGCATTTGCGTTCCAATCTCTCACCTGCCAGAAGCAAAACTGGCCAAGACCTCCCATATCCAAAAGAGGTCCCAGATTCAAGGAGGTGCTGGTATGATGCTTCTGGCTCCCTTGGAGGTGGTAAGGTCGTGGACATCCTGGGAGATGTTCTTTCAACCCAGCCCCCCCTTGATTTTCTAAGGAACCAGTGCCCGGGAAGCTCTAATGGAGCCCACCAACCTGTCCTCTCCCCTACTTAGGCCCAGAAAGGTTTAGTATCATTAGCTGTCACTTCCTCCCTTATGAATGCCTAGGTAACCACAGGTCATAAAGCAGGGCCCACCAGCTGTGGTGAGCCGGGTGTGTCTAAGGGAGGCTGGACCTGCCGTTCTGGAGGGTGGTTCTACAGAAAGGCTGCCGGTCCATTTGTACATTCCCTTAGTGGCACTCTGTAGGAAAACAAGGATGCTAAAAACAGCCGGGGAGGCGGAGCTTAAGACCAAAATCTCTGCCTCACAACATGACCAGATCTGGACGGTTGGAGTTTTTACAACCTCGTATGCTGCCTGGAGAAAGACTGGGTGGGCGGGACCTTTCTGGGATGGGGGGACTGTCAATCTGTCCAGCACAAGCCACCTCATGTGTTCGCCCTTTTGCCTTGTCAAGATGCGTCTTCTCTTTGTGTAGATGGGTATTTTGGGTGTGTGTGTTTGACTTGACTTTCTCCTACCACCCATCCTATTCTTCTTTTCTCCCACGTAAGTACTTAGTCATAGCACACCATACCTATGTACGATCCCTCAACAGAGGTATTCTAATAAACTTCCTTTCCTTTTTCCTTGGAAGTCTGCAGTGATGCTTAACAGGGTGGGGGAAGATAGCAGTGGAGAAAGATAATGAGGGCCTCCTAATGGGTTTCCCTCTTTGTCTTGTCTGGCCTGAACCCCTGACCTTTGTCTCCATTCTCTGCCTTACTGAGCTCTCCAACCAGCAGCTTTCCTTAGGAGGACATTTTCACCATCAGCCTTGCTTCCCTCCCAAGGATGTAGCTTGCTGGACCATCCTTCACATTATCTCACTTATCTTGATGGAGATCTTACAATAAACATCCTTTTCCTTTAAATGACCTTTTCTGCTTATTCCAGGCATCAGCCTTCCAGAGATCCCCAACACCAAGAAAAATATCTAGAGAATCCCCATTCTCAATCTGCATAATATAAAACTGAGCCAGTCATTGAACTATGGAGAAATCCATTCTAACAAATAAACACAGACACAGACAGAAATGGGCACTGGAGCCTTTTATTTCTATCAGCTGATAGCATAGTCTCCCCCTCTTTGCCCCAAGGCTCTGGATGAGCATAAGTGCCACTGTTCTGAAGCAGAACGATGCCCTTGATCATTTCACCGTTGATTCCCATGTGTATGGCATTCCTTAACTGGGAGGTCAAGGGGAAGAAGTTTTGTAAATTAGTCTGAAGTTGTTCCACACTTGAACGCTGACGATGTTCTGGACTACGATGACCATCTTTTCTTTCCCTGGAAGACAGGCAGGTCAGAATGAGAAGACAGAAAACAGAACTGGGAGCGTCTACACAACCAACATTCTTCCTTCTGAAGAGTGGGCGTCACCTTGGGTTCTTTTTAAAGAGAAAGGTGGGATAAAAATATTTTAAACAAACAAGCAAGCAAGCAAATGAACGAACAAAGAATTTTTTTTCCTATTTCTTGGTCTAAACATCCCAAAAGGGATAAAAATATTTTAAACAAACAAGCAAATGAACAAACAAAGAATTTTTTCCCCTATTTCTTGGTCTAAACATCCCAAATATTCTCCGTGCTGGGACTTCTGGTTGACAAACAGATCCTTTACAGACAATTAAATGTGGCTCGCCTGGAAGCAAGGCCTTAACTGGAAGGTTTTCAGGCCTATCTAGGCCAAGCGCTGCCTAGCTCCCTGTTGTGAAAGAAAGCTCCCAGCTTGTACCAGGGCAGGAATGGAAAGATCGAAAAGAGGATCTTTCCCTTAAGGTGAGCCGGATACTCACGGTCTCATCTTGTAGGGCTGGTATTTACACAGGTCTGGTCATTTGGCTTCTTCCTCGGTCCCCACCCTGTGGAAGCAAAGAGGTCTCAGAGCATGCAAAGAGAGAGAGAGAAGCACAATGCAGGCTCTTCATTTTGTTTACAGCCTGTTCCCTGACATCTCTCCCCATCCTGTTCGCCCCAACAGTGCCAGACTGAGCAGGGTGAGCCAACCAGGATGCCAGATCTGCATGTGGCCCTTCCTTGGAGCTGTTTTGCTACCTCTGGTCCTCCTAGACTCTCCCAGCCGTGCAGTGAAAATTCCCTCTCAGCAAAAAAAAGACCTCTAGTATCTTGCCAAAGGATTCGCAATTTAAATAGATTCCACTTTCCTCAAAGGACAAGGGGCTTTGAACCACATGCTCATTTTCACACCTTTTTCAACTGGATGAAAATAGGCCCATAGCTACATTTAAGCAGGGTGCGGAAAAGCCACTTTTGTGGACTTCCACTCCTGCAATCCCGGTGGCTTGCCTTGCTGGAGAACCCTGGGAGCAGGGGTCCCAAAGAGAGGAAGTTTTCCAAGCTCTGCATTTAAACCAAAAACACATTCCTTCTCCAGAGTCAAGCTTTGTAAAGGGCTCTCTTATTATAATTGATAGCAAGCAAGCCAGCAAGCAAGCACCAATTGGCTGGAGCCTGTGACGTCAACAATCTGCCACTCTGAACGCATCTGTGTGAAAAAGAAGATGAGCCTCCTGCACTTTTAATAGCTGAGTAGGGCATTTCACCAGATATACCTTGTCATGAAACGTCCATCTGGTGAATTCTTTCTCCCACTACCTGTCCATCCACCAAAATTTGGTGCCAATCACCATATCCGAAGAGTGAAAGCTAGTTTTCTTGAATGAAAGCATTCAAGCAGCACCCTCTCTGCCTAGTACTTACTGGGTTTCAGACGGTCGGCTGCTGCCTTCTCTTTGAAACTGTTCACTAAGGAAAAAGGCGGGAAAGAAAGAGTGAGAAATTTGTTTTGTGTCCTCTGAACTGCAGGGAAGAAAAGTTCTACTTGTGCGTAGAACAGGAATTAAGGGTTTTGTAGGGTTCCTGCTCATGCATAGAGCTGGAAAGATGAAGAAGAGAACAACAGAGGCATTTTCCCTGAAAAGCATTTTCACAGTGCTGGGTGGAAAAATGCCTGAATAAGGTCTCTCTTACATGTGATATGAACACGGCCAAAGAGCCCCAAAAACCCACAACAACTATTAAGTATTTTATTTGCTAGTTTTGAAAATTTCTTTGTGTTTTATAAACAAACAAAGAAACATGGAGCAACTTGTATTCTCGAAGGCTTTCACGGCTGGGATCCGATGGTAGTTGTAGGTTTTTCGGGCTGTTCGGCCGTGTTCTGAAGGTTGTTCTTCCCAACGTTTCGCCAGTCTCTGTGGCCGGCGTCTTCAGAGGACAGGTCTTAGAACTGGCGAAACGTTAGAAAAAACCTCCAGAACATGGCCCAACAGCCCGAAAAACCTACAACCACCATTGGGAGCAGATCTATAGACACTGAAACATCAGAGTCTCCAAACTCCACTGACAGTGGAAATTTCCAGAGACTGAAGTTGAATGGATGTTTATGAGGAGCAAGTCATATTCAGAGCTGCATCAGTTCTACACAACAGATCTTTCCCCTGAGAAAGCTTGCAATACCTTTTCCATGCTAAGCAAAATTAGCTCTTCCAGAAATCTGTTTTGGTTCATCTGATCTCTCCGCGGTATCTATTCCTGCTGCTATTTTAAAAAATCTCTCTTTGTCTACTTATTCCTGCTCTCCCACTGTAGTCCTTCCCGTTGGCAATAAACTTGTCTAAGCAACCTTTCCCTGCAACCCCTTTTGAGTTTTCCAGTTAGGGTACAAGAGTTGTTTTCTGAAAAGCATTAAAATGAATTACAGTGGTGCCTCGCATTATGATGTTAATTCATTCCAGCGAAATCACTGTAGAACGAAAACATCGTAAAGCGAAATTAAAAAGCCCATAGAAACGCATTACAACCCGATTAATGCGTTCCTATGGGCTTGAAACTCACCGTCCAGCGAAGATCCTCCATAGCGCGGCCATTTTCGCTGCCTGTGCAGCGAGGAATCCATCCCAGAAAACAGCGGGCGGCCATTTTTTTTAACTCAAAATCATCATTTTGCGAGAATCAGTTCCCAAAGCAGGGAACCGATCATTGCAAAGCGAAAAAAAAACCCATTTAAAACATCGTAAAGCAATCGCTTTTGCGATCTCAAAAACTTGGTCGTTATGCGATTTCGTCGTAAAATGGAGCGCTCGTCTTGCAAGGCACCACTGTAATGGGAACTGTTGAGATCTTACCTCCCTGCCGCCCGGAACACGAACATCCCAGTTATGAACATGAGGCCCATAAGGCAACCAGCCACAACACCGAAGGTAACGCCTGGGGAGAGCGCCTGCCTTGGTTCTGGAGACTCCAGTACCTCTGGAGGGACAAGGAAAACATGAGCATGAACGAGACACTAAAGAAGTGGTCTTTCTTTACTTTATCTCTCTCTCCTATCCATCAGTCTTGGACAAAGCTGGGACAGTTACTTTTTAAAAACAATTCGCTCTAGTTCCTTGTTTTATCCCATTGAAATTATTTTGGGGAAAAAACCCTACATTGCATGTTGTTCTGCCTGTTAACTTGTCTTTTAAAAAATTCTTCCTCCCCCCCCTTTTTTGAGGGGGAGCTTACGCTTCTTAAGAAAATGCATAAAACTTAAACATGACCTGCCTAGAGGCTCTTTAAAAAGAGGAGCCCCTGAAGTTCGCTTTAAAACTGATTTTTGAATGTAACTAGAAAATTATTCATTACCACAGTAAAGTTCCTTTCAAACTCTTCCAAACTTTAATCGCTAATACCACTCCCAGCCCCTGCCACCTGAGGTGGTTGCTTCGAACAGCATACGAAATCCAAAACAAATATCTCCTATTTGTTATCTGGATGCCTGAAGGGCTCTGGAACCAGTGCTTGGTCTCCATATGTGTTGGGGAGAAAGGGGGGGGGGCTAGGTTCTACTAGAGAGACGAGTTGTTACTTGGGACGTTTTATATTTCATTTGCCAGCCACTGTCCAAATGGCAGGAGCAAAATCCCAGCCCTTCCAATATAAATGTGCACTGTAGCATTCGTGATCAGTGGCATGCCCCCCAGAAACCCCAACCTCTGATCAGTAAGGGTGTTGTCCCAAATTCTGTCAAGCCATCCTGCAAAACCCTTTTGACCGAGTAGAAGTCGTTGTCATCGAGGGTCAAGTTTTTGATGTAAAGCGAGCAATCTTTTTGTACTGTCTCCCGACCGGTGTAGGATTCGTTGTGGATTGTTTCATTGGGTGGCCGATAGGTCAAGATGGCAAATTGCTTTAGCCGATGTCCTCGGAACCAGACGCAGGATTTAATTTCTTGTCGGGTTGCCCTTAGTAACAGGTTGACGTCCATGCCTACTAGAAGTTGGGAGGGCTCTGTCATGATCTCAATGGTAGCTTCCTTGGCAGCGTGGCTTCGGGTGACACAAGTGCAGCTGAAGATGAAGGCTGAGGAAGTAGGAATGGATGAGAGCAGAAGATAACAGGCATTGCATTCAAATATAAAGCCAGTTCTGGGAAATAATGACTTGTGGCTCGTATTTCTTTCTTTCTTTCTTTCTTTATTTATTTATTTTATTTATATCCCACCTATCTAGTCAGCTCAGGACCACTCTAGGCAACTAGACGTTAAGGAAAATGTTTATGGTTCCATATTGTGTTTGTGGATTTCAATGGCTTTGAAACACCAGCAGAGCTTCACCAAAAAAGAAGAAAGTCTAAAACTCAACAAAGCCTGGCTCTCAGCACCGAAAAATACAGCCTGCAAAAAGTCAATGAACTCTACCCAGCCACAAGGACTGGGGATCACTGCACACAAAAGACTAGCTAATGGCACCCATCAATCACAGTGATAGGTCATCTCCCCCCCTTATCGCAACAATATACACCCATAACAAAAAAACACCCTGATTACCACAATCACCCAATCTCTTGAAAAGGACAAAAAGCTGATCCCACAGGTACAAATACTCAGCTGCACTACACCAGAACACAGACAGAGTTCTAGCTCCTGTCCTCTGAAAATCCCAGCCACAGAGACTGGCAAAACGTTAGGAAGAAAAAACTTCAGAACATGGCTAAACAGCCCGAAAAACCTATAACAACCCTTGGATTCTGGCCATGAAAGCCTTTCTTAGTTGTTCAACTACTCACAGGCAGCCCTTGAGACAATATTCCACCAGTCCCTCCATTTAGTGCCCACGTAACTATACAAGCAAGTTTAGAAGTTTGCAGGTACATACAGAAGGGGTGAACCTATTGCTTCTTAAATTACAGTCATAACTCAACATGGGTATGAAGTGCTGGTTCAATTATTCGTGCTGGTTCGTTGAACAGGTGTTTGCCATTTCCCCGCCCTGCCTCCTCTGACAGGCACCCATGTGGAGGCAGTGGGGCAGGAAGGGCGCTGCCTCTTGAGTGGACACCCACTGGAGGAGACAGGGCTCTGAAGTGCCGAACCCTCGTTTGGCCGAGAAACGAATTGGCACAACCTGCCGAATCAGCAGTTCATGTTCATCTCTTGTCGTAAAGGAACTAGGTGTACTGTCATTATTGAAAGAAGAATAAATTACAAGTTATTCTGATGGGGGGTAATGAGTTGCTTCCAAGCTTTGAAAAAGTTGGGAAAAGGGGATATGTAGAGCCTATTCATTTTCATTCATTCATTCATTGATTCATTCAAAAATAATTCAATCCCAGCTTCGGAGGATCTTTTCTTCCAGCCCTGATTTAGCACCAAACCTGCTTTCCTTCCCCACAGAATCCCTTCCACGCACCTGCTAGAAGCAGCATCGGCCACCAGTTTGGGCTGGATCGCCATGACGATTTTGCTGCTTTTGGAGAGGGGAGGCTTCGAGACATCCTGAGAGATTCTTGTTGCCCACAGCCAGATGCCAGTGGTCCTGCTGTGCTCTTAATCTCCAGTGCATGTCCCTCTCCCCCCCAGCTAGGACCCCCACACACCCCTCATCCCCACAGTGAGCCATCTTAAGACCTATGGCCTAGGTTGGCTCATTGCCACCCCCAGTCCATTGTGAGCTCCACACTGACAGGCAGAGGTCATAAAGCAGATGCCAGTTGCCCCTTTCTCACAGAAAGACTGAAATTTGACTCCATTAGGCCAGGGTTGTATATCAGAGGGGCAGTTGGGTGGGCTTTTGTGTTTGCCTTTTTAAAATGTTTCTGTGATATTTCTGCTTTGCCTTTCTTCACTGACCTGAAAGTGGAGTAGAATGAGCAGAAAGCTACATTTTCCACTCCACTTTATTCCATGTGAGGTAGGTTAGTGTCAAGACAAATAGAAAAGCAACTAAAATAAGTACAACTCCGACGCAAGGAAAACCTCCTTTCACCAATTACAAATTTCAACTGTAACATATACAGTAAAGGAAGGCATTTGTCCCTCTTAAGCTGCCTACTACATTAAGACCACTCCGTATCCATGGAATCAGTATCCATGGTCTGAAAATATTAAACTTAATAAAAGAAAAAGACTAGAAATACAGTGGTGCCTCGCTTGACGAGGATAATTCGTTCCGTTGAAATCGCTGTTAAGCGAAATCCTCATCAAGCGAAATGAAAGAGCCAATTGAAATGCATTGAAACCGGTTCAATGCGTTCCTGAAAATATTAAACATAATAAAAGAAAAAGGCTAGAAATACAGTGGTGCCTCGCTTGACGAGGATAATTCGTTCCGTTGAAATCGCTGTTAAGCGAAATCCTCATCAAGCGAAATGAAAGAGCCAATTGAAATGCATTGAAACCGGTTCAATGCGTTCCAATGGGCTGAAAACTCACCGTCCAGTGAAGATCTTCCATAGCTGTGGCCATTTTTGGTGCCTATATATATCTGTAATGTAATGCTTGTAATGCACAGATAAATATATATATAAGCCTGATTTTCTTACTTATTGCCTTACTACAGGCAATTCATTGTGAGTTACTACTATGCCAAGCAATGGGATACGGAGATTATCCATTGCAACAAAAAAGCATGGAGAAACAGAATTATGTGAGCATGAAAGGGTTTTATTTTTTTGATCAAATATATGATACATTTTCACTCACTCCTACTGTACTGGACATCTGTAAGACTTGGTTTTTAAGGACTAGCAAGATATCCTTTATACTTCCATTGTGATTTCCACGTTAAAGGGGCTTCTCTGTCTGGTGAAAGAGGTAGGAAATTTGTAGGTGGGCTGAATCCTGTGCCAGACATGAATTCTGTCAATCTTTTGGACCAGGAATGTGACAATGGGGTTCACCTGCAAGAAAACCATTAGATATAATAAAACAGAACTAGACACACCAACATCCCACCAATCTTTTCTCTGAGGACCAAGAATATTACGTTGCTCATATTACTAAATGGCATCGTTTTGGAAACTGGTAGGCCAGGTGCTGAAGCACACCTAAGATTTTCTGTTAAAGAATCTTCTAGAAGGTCAGGAAGTAATCTGGGAGGTTCCACAACCTGAGGCTAGATGCAGAGGCTAGATCTTAGCTGGTAAAACTGACTATACGACTAGGAGCTGGAGATATCTTTGATGCCTGGCATAAAAGACAAGGTGACACTCTGCCAACTGGTTAGAGAAGAGGGCCTTAGCATGTTGGTTGGTTGGTTGGATGGATGGATGGATAGATGGATGGATGGATAGATGGATGGATGGATAGATGGATGGATGGATAGATGGATGGATGGATAGATGGATGGATGGATAGATGGATGGATGGATAGATGGATGGATGGATAGATGGATGGATGGATAGATGGATGGATGGATAGATGGATGGATGGATAGATGGATGGATGGATAGATGGATGGATGGATAGATGGATGGATGGATAGATGGATGGATGGATAGATGGATGGATGGATAGATGGATGGATGGATAGATGGATGGATGGATAGATGGATGGATGGATAGATGGATGGATGGATAGATGGATGGATGGATAGATGGATGGATGGATAGATGGATGGATGGATAGATGGATGGATGGATAGATGGATGGATGGATAGATGGATGGATGGATAGATGGATGGATGGATAGATGGATGGATGGATAGATGGATGGATGGATAGATGGATGGATGGATGGATGGATGGATCAGGGGTTGAAGGATGCACTAAAAAAGAGAGATAAATATTACCCTGCAGAACTGCTTAAGATCTTATACGAAACCAGGGATGCAATGACCGTGATTATAACAACACCCAGAACAAAAATCCCAGCAATGGCTCCTTCGGAGAGAACTTTGGGGCTTTTCGGTTGCAGGAAACCTTCTGAAAAGACAAGGAAAGAGCATGAGAGAATGAGGCAATGGATCATGGTGCCTTCCATTAACCTAACTTAGGCATCATTAGTCCATAAGAACAAATTCCAGAGCTGCATCAGCACATTATCCTTTTGAAAGACATAGCAAGCTCGTCCTTCTTCCCTTCCCTGTATCTCCCACTATGAAGATCCTTCAAATGTTTTTGATGTCACTTTGCACTGAGGCTAAGAGGGTGAGCTGAGAAACATGTGCTTGTTGAATGGCTTTCGGGGTGAGCCACAATTCATTGAGTCTCAGCCCCTGCCCCACGGCCGTCTCAAGTTCTCCCACCTCCTGAGGGCTGGAAATGTGTTGCCAGCACCTACTGCCCTCAACAGCGGCTTTGATGGTGCCACCAGCTATCTATGTGGATAATGCTTCTGCCCTGGTGGACATCATTTGGGGGAAAATCCACTAGCAGTTGGACTATAAAGGAAATCTGGGCTATCTGGGCTAAGGTTCTAAAGGATGGGGGGAGGGAGGAAGAATAAAAATATTTACCTACGACCATTAAGAATATCTGTCCTGCTTCCGAGGCTACAGTGGTGTTCTTTTGGATTATATAATAACCCCCATCTGGGAGAGATACATTCGCAATGTGGAGAGCGCAATCTGCCGTCATGCTCTCCCGCCCAGTATAGGAGTCCTTATGTTCCACTTTGGAAACCGGGGGCGGCTCGTAGACCAAGATTTGATTCTCAACAGATATATCCCATCGGTACCAGGCGCAGATGAGAACATTTTCCATGCTGTCGTTCGGGATGAGACTGACCTCTGTGCCAACTAAGGGGAACCATGGATCTGCGATGACCAGGATGCTAAAGTTCTGATCACATTCTGTCAAGGTGAAGAAGTAGGAATTCAAGAGGTGGCCTGGGTTTGGGGAGGGGGGAAGAGGTGGAGGGAGGAGGAAAAGAAAGAAGGAGAATTGACCATTAGTTCCAGAGAAGGGTGTGCCCTAAAGAAGAATCTCAAAGACAGGAGCAGAACCTCTTCTGGATTTGCCAACATGATTGCAATTCTATCGGGTGGATTTTGAAACAGCCTTGAAAGCTCAGACCTCTAAGACAAAGAGCAAGGTTGGAAGCTGCTCTATACTACATACACTTAGATCCTTGATCCCTTCTGTTCATTACTGTTTATATATGTGCTATAAAACCATAGAATCATAGGATAATTTAATTGGAAGGGGCTTATAAAGTCACAGAACCCAACCACCTGTTCAGTGCAAGAATCTCAAATCAAATCTGACAGATGCTTGTCCAATTTTCTCTTGAATACCTCCAGGGCTGGAGTGATCACCACCTCCCAAGGGAATGGGTTCTATTGTCGTACTCCTCTAACAGTTAGGAAATTTTTTCCTGATATTCAACTGAAATCTGTCTTCCTGTCACTTGAGCCCATTATTACATGCCCTGCACTCTGGGATGATTGTGAACAGATCTTGCCCCTCCTCTGTAGGACTATCAAGGAATTGTAAAGTGCTCTCATATCTCCCCTTAGATTGCTTTCCATCAAGGCTAAATGTACCCAGTTCTTTCAGTATTTCCTTCTAGGGCTTGGTTTCCAGTCCCCTGATCATCTTTGTTGCTTTCCTCTGAACTTGATCCAGTTAGCATCCTTCTTAAAGTGCAGTGTGCAGAAGAGGATGCAATAGTCAGGATGAGGCCTAAGGTAAAGGTAAAGGTTCCCCTTGACATTTAGTCCAGTCGTGTCCGACTCTAGGGTGCGATGCTCATCCCTGTTTTCAAGCCCTAGAGCCAGCATTTGTCCAAAGACAGTTTCCGTGGTCACGTGGCCAGCACGACTAGACACGGAACACTGTGACCTTCCCACCGAGGTGGTACCTATTTATCTACTCGCATTTTTACATGCTTTCAAACGGCTAGGTTGGCAGGAGCTGGGACAAGCAACCGGAGCTCCCTCCATCGCGTGGATTCGATCTTACGACGGCTGGTCTTCTGACCTTGCAGCACAGAGGCTTCTGCGGTTTAACCCACAGTGCAGCCACCTCCCTATGAGGATGAGGCCTAACCAGTGTCATATAGAGGGAGACTAGTACTTTATAAGCTGTGGTCAATATATGCCCCCCCCAGTTGTTTTCACAGCCTCTGTCACTGCCATTTGCTGCTATCCAAATTGTCAAGTGATGCTGGCAGAGCAGAGACTTCTTGGGGGTGGGGAGTTCCATCCAAAAAGGAAAGAAGACACTCTGCCCTGCAATACAAGGAGAGCCTTATGGTATGGGAGGACAGTCTGACACATTTCTGCACCATAGAGACCTGTGAGAGTTGCAGCCTAGTTTCCTAGAGTGGTAGGATCGGGTATCTCCACAATGGCCAGAGGTTTCCATTCTTCTTGTCTCCATTTCAGTGTGTGCATGCACACACAGACATGTACACTCACACGCTGAGTAGCTGTAGAACTTCTGCCAGCGTTTGATTGCTGTTCTCCACACCTAGGCACCACAGTCTCCCACTCCCCACCCCACATGTCCCAACCTTTCACCTGCTAGAAGCAGCATGGACCAACCTCTTCTGCACCCAGAGCATGCCCCAGCTGTTGAGTGCGGTCTAGACAAGGTCCTTGACATTCCGGGAAGGAGAAAGCCTTGGGCCATTGCGGGTGCCCATTGGGATAACCAGCACCTGAGAGCGCCAGGTGAACCCATATCCCCTAACCACCCACTTCAGGTTCTCTCTCGGAATGTCCTACTGCTCGATTCTGGTCTCCCGGGTGACCACAGAAGGTCATAAAGCAAGAGAACTGAGCCATGGTGGGCTGGCCGGGTGGGAGGCCATCACGTATGTCTTTCAGTAATATATAAGCTGCCTTGGGACCTTTTTAAAGGAGAAAAACAGAGTAAAAAATATTTTAAATAAATAAATGTGGACATGAAGGAGACCTCCATCAATTTGCAAGCTTTTGAATCATCTCAAGCCTGTGTTCACAGAAATATTTGCAGCAATGGAAAAGGGCAATAGGAATATTTTTTTAAAGTTACATTATTGGATTGTAATGTGTAGTACCCTCAGCCCAGGTGATTCTAAGAGTTACAGTCCAAGAAAAAAAAACATTCCCAAGCCCTAGAGATTTCTCACCCACCCACCCCCACGGATATTGCAAATCAAATCTCTAAAACATTACATTTTCCTGCTATGATAGCTAGAAGCATCCAGGTAGCATTCTGAACATTGTAGCTAAAAAAATTTAACTTTTACGAGATCTATTTCAAACATGGTCCTTAAATATTTAATCACCTGAACCCTGGGGGAAATGGTGTAAAGTGGAGTCCATATGA